AGCAAGGCTCAGGGCTCCTCACAGTGTGACCTCCTCTCCCCACCTTACACTCCAAAAAACCTGTCCATCCTTCTAATGCAAGAGATCCCTTCAGATCCCTGAGCTGTTTTCTCTGGGGCTCTTAAGGAGGGAAGGCCATTCCACTTAGGGGAGGAAGAGCTCTGCAGAACCTGATGTCCCTGCTCTGCCCACCATGGAAGGAGTTGGTTCCCTGCAGAAATCAATTTGAGAGCATCCTTTGAGAAAGGGGGGACCTGGAAGTTTAAAGTATGAGATTACAATGAATGATGAATGATTATACAAGAAAGATCCGGAGGGCAGTTTGACAATTGAGCTGGAAAATTCTCATCTTTTCCTGATGAGACATAGGAGAAATGTGGCTTTTTTTTTTTTCTGGAGAGCAGCCAGCAACTTACCAAATAAGTAGGAAATAAATGGGAAAATGAATGGCCCAATTGAGTCCCAATTAAAGTGGGGCCAGTACATCCTAGCATGTGAAATTATCTTCAAATTTTAACATTAGAGTCAATTTTTAAACCTGATGAGTTTCACTAATTAGCTAGGCAGTGTAAAAAATCCTGATTATACATGGGGTAGCAAAGACTAACAAAGTGTTATCAAATGATTATATATAAATGATTTGTAAAAAGCACATGAATCATTTCAAAAATAATGTGCCGCAATTAAAGCACTTTGAAGAGTTTGTCCTCTTGGTTTGATATAACATTTCCCTTGAAGTCTTGTTGACTTTGATAATGGCTTAAATAACCCTTCTGTGCATGGATTTGGGAAAGGTAGTTTGGCCTCCCATATGTGTAAATTATGATATATTTTAATTAATATTAATACTAGGGCTAACTTGTCAAGACTTTTCCTCTGTGAGGCTTTGTTATCTAGTGTTCCTTTCATTTCAAATGGCAATTTTCAAATCAGTGCTGAACATATGTTAACAAAACTGAGAAGCAAGTGTGCTTTTCTGCAATCACTCAGAATCATAGCTTTTCAGTGGCTCCTCTGCTATGAGGGACCTGTTTGAAAAATGTGCAGAGCAATGACTAATCTTTATTTTGCTTTGGGCCTCTGTCTTATTACTATCCCTGGCTCAACTTTGTGGGAGTCAGAATGGGACAAATGTCCCCCCCACCTCCACTGTGTATTGGCAGCTACAATCAGCTTTTAAGATCAGAGTGTGCTACTAAGGAACCCCACTTTCCAAAAAAAGGGACACACTAATCATATAAGCGATGGGTCAGAAATGCTCTTTGTTCCATAGCAGAGTATTTTACTAGGATCCTGGGGCAAAATTAATTATAGAGAACAAATTCTGTCCTTTATCCAGGTGTGTGGGAAGAGCAAGAAATTTGGGGCCTTCCTTCATAAAATGGGCATCTGTGAGTATGAACCTCTGAGAACCCGTTCAGATGCTACTGGACATAAAGGTCTCAGAGTTGAGGACCTGGGCTAAGCAACAGGTAAAAGCCTGGAGTGTGTCACCCTGAATCACCTGCCCATCCATTGATCCTACTCTGTTCTCTCATTTTAGGGATATGGAAGGTTCTCCCTAAACTTGTCCTCAAGATGAATGTAGCCTGGGGAAAGGAAAGTGACCAATGTAGTTGTTTTGGTGACATTTTCAATTCAATGATTACCTTTTCCCCATGGCACATAGTTTGCAATTATACTCGTATTTGTTTACTGGTTAACTTGAGGTCTGTCATCCCTACTAAAGTTTCAAGAAGTGAGGGACCTCATTTGTTTTATTCACACCTAAGAATGCCTGAGGTATATTAAGGATTCCATCAATGCTGTTATATGAGTGGATAAAGGTGTGTTCGGCTGCTCTACCATGTGCCCAGTCTTGTGCATGGGAAGACACTGCTATAACTCGGGAAAATACTATCTCTGCCATCCGAACACTCAGAGGGCATCATATGAGGGATTTAAGATTTATAAAGCCTTGGGTTTAATCCCAAATCACCATGAATTTGGCAATTACTGTGAAAATTAATGTAATTTTGAATATGAGATCATTAAGTAAAAATAATCATTAGAAGTCTTTGTGACATATAGTGGTGTAATGTAGGTTTGTGATATGTTGAAAAAAATTTTAAAAAGAAGAAAAAAAAGTACGTTTCCAGCAATCAGCAACTAAGAACCACACCACAGCCTGAATTCTAGATGGTTCTACGTGGCTGCAGGCAGGTTCACCAGTGGCACTGTGGCTCACTCATTGAGTGATCTCATGCGAGGCACATCTTTCTGAGGATGCAGTTAAGTGGATTTCAGGGATGTTTTCCAGCCCTAGAATTTGGTTTGACAGAGCCTGGAACCAAAACCTGCTGTTACAAAGGCTTGGTGGTTCAGAGCAAGAGCTCTGGCCATCGTACAGGCATGGCTGCGAGGCCCAGCTCACCCTGCTAATGCTAGGCACTCCTTAATCTCTCTGAATCATGTTTGTGAAATGAGGATAGTCATATCTATGTGTCCTAAGATTATTAGAAGTTGTGGTGAAATAGAGTTGTGGTGAAAGTGCTTAGCATAGAGTCTAGCCAAGAATAAATATGCAGAAAGTTAGCTCTCATTATTTCTAATCTCAAATATTTCATATTTGTGTCCTCACCCTTTTTGTTATCGGATGAATTTTCTTCAAGCTGCATGGTAAACAGTTCACGACAGACAGTTGGTCATTTAACTTATCAAAGGGCATTCCTTTGTGTGACATCAGGACCTCAATACACAATGCCTTCCCCCGTATTTTGAGGTGGTTTTATGGTGTTGTTTATCTGTGCTTTTGAGAGATGTCACATTATCCCCAACAGAGTGGTTGTGTGCCCTACCGCAAATGAAATCCTTTGGAAGCATAGATATGCCACTATGACACAAAGTGCCCTTTCCCATAGAATTTCTGGCCTAGAGCAAGCATAATTCCTGTATCTATAACTTGGTTTTGTATAAACTCATGGGAAATAGAGTTTGTCTGAAGACTACTAAGGAAATGGAAGTAAAAGGCTATATTTAGAAAATGTCAGTAGACTGGGCTCCATGAGATCAAGCACAATGTGGGGAATGCCATCGGGTTAGAGGCAGCATCACTGGTGCTTGCAAAGGGACTTTGCCTTTGCAGGTTGGAGAGGTGGGTGTGGAGCAAATGGCGTGCTGGCCCTTCCTTTCACAAAGCGTGTGGATTCTACAAGTGCCAAGGCTGTGAGCGGGATCTCCAGGGCCTGTGCTTGTCCAATTCCCTGTCGCTGTAAGGTTTCCTGTTCTCCCTGAAGCTTTCTGACTGTTTCCTTCTCTCCACCCCTCTTCCTCTTTTTTTTTTTTTTTTAACTGCTTTCTGCTTGGATCCTCCATAGGAACGCTTTGGGGTAAATATTGCTCTCTCTCTTTTCTTTGAAGTAAAAAATAAGGGATGTGGGTTGGAGGAGGGTACAGGTACGGATGGGAGAAGGAGCCTGCTCAGTGGAAAAGGACTGGGGAGTTTCTATGAGTGCTGAGTTTTCACTGACATCCAAGAGAACAAAAATTAGGAGTCCCCAAAGCTTCTTGGGAAATGATCATTTGTGTTAGTTTGGGTATCTATTTGGCTTAGAAGCTGCCTTTTTTTAGATAGGGAGATATAGAAACATAATACAGCAAAAGAGTTTATAAAATATACAAAATCCCTGGATGGCAAAGACCTTTTAATGTAGTACTTTTGGAATATCTGTGTTCAGAGCTTAAACTGAATAAAAGTGTCTTAATGGCCTGCAGTTATTAAAGCCATCCTTAAATTCATATTCTGGGCAAAGCCAACATTCCTTGGATTACATTACATGTCTTCCTACCTTGCCTTCTATGGAAGAATAGGTGATCTTTTATCTCCCCGTCAGAGGGGGTGGTGGGTATGGTGGGAAGGACAGGGTAAAAAACCAGCAGAAGTCCTTGTAGTTCCCATGTGATGTTCTGGATCCCATTTCCTCAGGCTGCTGGTGTAATGGTGCTCTGGACAAACATGAGGAAAGAACCAGAGCCTGAGCACACTCTTTAGAGTCTCATTTCCTACCATCTGTGTCTTTTACAAATTGCGATTGTTTGAATTGAATGCAAAGATCTCAGGGGATCAGCAGGGTGGAGAAAGAATTGCAGGTTTATTCATTTCATTCCTGAAAATATAAAGAGAAGCACAGTTTATCTATTAGGAGCAAATATTTCTAAGCAGCTGAGTAGGGAAGCTCATTAGCTGAAGGGCAAGGATATAGTGGGCAGGGACTGCATTTTGGGCCTTCTCCAACTCTATGGCTCTCTGCAGCTTGTGCTAGGTATAGAGTGCCTCAGGTGGGAAGGGACTGCAGAAAGAGCCAGCCACACACAGGTAATTGGGGTGTGAGCCAAGGTCCTGGCAAGAAGCCTGCATAACATGCCTTCTCTGGAAGCGGCAGCCAACATAGCAAGATTGTCCCCACTGCCCTTCCTTACCCTGTTCTCCCCTGAACTAATGAACTCTGCAGAGGTAACACCTAGAGCCAAGGAAAGGACTAGGTCAAGTCCTCTGAGGAGACTTGCTTTCGACTTGGGGTTCCTAGTCCGTTCAACAGATACCATTTGAGAGCCTGCTTGGGAAGAAGCACTAGACCAGGCACAGTGAGGATCCAGAGTGGACTACCAGTCATGTTCCCTAGTTATCTTCCATTTTCATTCTGCTAGTGTGGCAATGAGCCATGTTACTCTGACTGTTGGGGAGAGGAAGTGTTCATTACCGTACCGGCATGGAAGCCTCTGTGCGTGTGCTTGTGTGTTCCTATGTGTGAATATGCATGGGTGTGCATGCATAGGAGCGTGTGCACACTAGACAGTGAATTGAAACTTTTCCCTGTGAGTGTTTTTGGGGTCTTCCTGAAGGGAGTCTACTCTGACCCAATTTCTGGCCTCTTGCCTAACCACCCTGTTAATGCAATAGAGTGAATGCCACTTTCATTTCTCCCCCGTCCGCCGATTCCCTGGGGACCTGTCCCCTGCAGAACAAACAAGGGGCGAGACATCAAGACCATCAAATCCCTGAGGGTGCTCCGAGTTCTGAGGCCACTGAAGACCATCAAGCGCTTGCCCAAACTCAAGGTAAAGTTTCCAAGCCCCCTTCCTCCCGTCTTGTCTTTAGCCACGGTCAGCCAACTTTTGGAGAATCACTTCCAGGAATATTCCTTTTGCTCAGAGACTGGTGTTCTTTTGTCTGCCTAAGTTAAGGGTGTTTGTTTCTCAAAGAAAAAGAATCAATGTGCCAAGAGATCTCTAAGGGGGCTTTGGCTTCTTGAGTCCAGACCCAGGTAATACTTTGTATCTACTCTGGCTGTGGCATGTCATCCAGGAAGAACCCTGTGTCATTAAGTTGGACCAGGAACACCAGCACGGAAGTGGCAGGAGTCCTCTGTGTTGTGAGCTGAGTAACCTGGGATGCTTTGTAATTCTAGAGAAGGAAAGGATTTTCTAGCGCTGACCCTTCATCTTTTTAAGGCACAGATTGGTCGGTAACTTGCCCAAGAATACAATACTTTTTGGCAGAAGCAGAGAATGGGAAAGTGAGTTAACATGAATTAAAGTTCTTACTGTTGCTAGGACCTGTGCTTTCATAGGTATATCACTTTGGTTCTCCTCTCTTCTGGCCCAGGCCCTCCCCACACCACCCTCCTGGGGCTGCTTCCCTGCCCGCACCTTCCTGCCCTCAGGGTGTCCTTCACCATTCACATCTAGTTTGCTGACCTGTTGGACCCTCTTCCCTCCACACATAAATTGCTACTAATGGAAGCTGAAGTGTCCCGGGGGAAAAGTTCTTCCTCCTGAATTCCTGTGAGCAAGAGCCAGCCACTTGAAGGAGGGGACCAGAACTCCCAGTTCACAGCCCTGAGGTCCACTCACTGCTGCCCAGGCCACATGGCCAGCTGAGTGAGCCACAGCACCAGGCCTTAGCCTGGTCTTCAGGGGCTACATACACCGTTCATTACAACCCTCTACCTGCTAATAGACACATCATAGTGCCAGGCTTTATCCTTGACCATAAGTCCTTTCTGCCCCACCCCAACTCCTGGGGGCCTGGGGCCCTCACCACTGTTGTTAGCTGCAGCCTGGGCTCCGGGGGTGTCCTCTCTTGTGTGCTGTGTTGGGGTCCTAAGGAGACTGCAGACAGCATGATGAAATCAGTTAACAGGCTGGAGAGTGCGACCCCACCCTTGGTTAATTCCATTTAATTAGGAGGTGCTGGCTTCTCGCTTTCTCTGCTGCTCCATAACCTGAGGGAAGTGTAGGTGGCTCTGATGATTCTACAAGGCTGTGTGTCGCTCACATCGCCTGTAGTGTTGAACTAATTAAACCAGCGATATTCACCCAGCACTGCAAGGAAGCAACCTTACAAATGTGGCATCCACACAAATGCAGTGCCACTATGGAGCTAGACTCTCCAGTGAGCCAAACCTAAAAACCTAGAAAATAACCTAAAAATGGCTTGAGATGTGTTGAGTTCCTGTGTCACCCTTCGTGGCTCAGGGCCTACAATGGATTCTGCAGAGGGACATCCATGGCCTGTAATAGAAGAGCAAGTCTCTGGTTCTGCCCACCCCGTCCCCTCTGCCCTATGAGAAGGCAGCTCCCCAGCCCCTCCCATGTGACCTATTGAATCTTCGTCTCCAGTACAGCCAGCTTGCAGCTAGAGAACATTTATGTGAAGTGTTGAACATCTTTGGAGCAAATGTAGGAATTTATCCAAAATATCATTGAAATGAATAAAAGTGAGGGGCACCTGGGTGGTTTAGTTGGTTAAGCGCCTGCCTTCAGCCCAGGTCATGATCCCGGGGTCCTGTTCCCTGCTCAGTGGGAAGTCTGCTTCTTCCTCTCCCCGCTGCTCATGCTCTCTCATGCATGCCCACTCTCTCTCAAATCTAAAACAAACAAACAAAAGTGGCAATTAACCTTACTCTCTGATCCATTTAGAAAGGTAAAGGGGAAACAATACATATTCAGTATATAAACCAAATCTGAGAATGTCATCAAATACATGTAAGTTTAAGGACAAGCCATTTAATGGCCAGAAAGGGCTAAATGCCCTCAAATATTCCTTTATGCAATAGATTTCTCTGCCTCCCACTAAATGGAGTACCCGTTTTGGGGTTCCACAGAGAACTCACTCTGTTGCCTGATGCCATTTGGTTTCTACTGCTTTGGGTTTTCTTTCAGATTCAGAGCACGTGTGCCCTTCTAGGTAGTAGATCCTTGCTGTCATGACCAGCTTGGAAGCCAGCTCCAAATCCCAGGAGTGTCACTTCTTAGTAAGGTGGTATCTAATGGGGCACCTTCTCAGTTGGCCTGGCTGGCGGTGATGTGGCCCCAACTCAGCTCAAGGCAAAAGCACAGGCCATTCTGGGGACTCACAGGGCTCTTTACACCTCTTTGCAGGCTGTCTTTGACTGTGTGGTGACCTCCTTGAAGAATGTCTTCAATATACTCATCGTCTATAAGCTCTTCATGTTCATCTTTGCTGTCATTGCGGTTCAGCTCTTCAAGGGAAAATTCTTTTATTGCACAGACAGTTCCAAGGACACAGAGAAGGAGTGCATGTAAGTGCAACCGGCACATGGCACTCACTTTGTGCTAATGTATATTCAGGGGAAGCCCACTCAACCTTCCACAGATAGCTCTTCTCTTTCTCTCTTACCTCTCTCTCATTTCCTCTTTTTAGGAAAAAGGCAATATAGATCATTTTAAACTTTTAATGAGCATCTCTTTTGTGTTAGACATGATACATGGCATTCAACATCCAGTTTTTCATTTTAAATCTTCACAAGGACCTTTTGAGAGAGGTTTCATTTATATATTCTAGATGTGGAAGTTGAGCCTCAGAAAGTTTTCATTGTTCAAGGTGACAAGGTGACTAGTAAGAGGATTAGGATTTAATCTTCCATGTCTGCTAGGCACCAAATTCAACTTCTATTCCATAGTAATAGACTGCCTTTGATAATATAGTGTTTTCTTCCTTGTTTTTGTATGCTGATTATGACTTAGCCACATTATTGAAGTTTGTAGAATTTCCTTACTCTCCCATGAGCTATAGTGAAGAGGCCCTATTTCATTTGTACTCTGGTTTTAGAGGCAACTACGTAGATCATGAAAAAAACAAGATGGAGGTGAAAGGCCGGGAATGGAAGCGCCATGAATTCCACTACGACAACATTATCTGGGCCCTGCTGACCCTCTTCACCGTCTCCACGGGGGAAGGATGGCCTCAGTGAGTGATGGGATTGAGTTGGAATGCTTGTGTGTGAGCCAAGATAGGGCCACGTGGTTGCCTTGAGAAGCATATTCAGGATGAACGAGGCTAACCCTTTGTTATTATACCAGGGAAGGTAAGTAGTTATGCATGAGTGAGACAGGTAGAAGAGAGGAAGAATGAAGAGCCTTAAGGCAAAAATCAAGAGGGAGATAACAAAATCAGAAATATTTTAAACTTTCACTGTTTTAGTCCCTAGGGACTGTTTTAGACACATTCATCCTCCAAGTTGGCCCTTTACCTGAAGATTGAGGGTTAAGAATGAGCTGGAAGAGAGGTGCCTGGCTGGTTCAGTTGGTTAAGCTTTTGACTCTTAATATCAGCTCAGGTCTTGCCCTCAGGGTCATGAGTTCAAGCCCTGTTTTGGGCTCCATGGTAGGCATGGAACCTACTTTAAAAAAAAAATGAGCTAGAAGAACTCAGAAATACGTTCTTTGATCATACCTCTCTGTTGTCTTATGAAGAAGACAACAGAATGCAGTTTCCTTTTTTCTTTTTGAGAGAGAGAGAGAGAGAGAGAGAGAGAGAGAGAGAATGTGAGTGGGGGAGAGGACAAAGAATCTTAAACAGGCTCTATGCCCAGGATGGAGTCCAATGTGGGGTTTAGTCTCATGACCCTGAGATCACAACCTGAGCCAAAGTCAAGAGTTGGATGCTTAACCAACTGAGCTACCCAGGCACCCCTAGAATGCAGTTTCTTAGGCTACTGGTGGCTAATTTTTCAGAGACTAGGCAATTATTAAGACCCCTCTTTCTGGTGGCAGCATATTCTAGTTGGCAAAATGCCAAACCGATATCCAGAAGTCTCTTGGTTTTGAATATGACAACCTAAGATATAAAATAATGTCATTCTTGTTGCTTAGCTGTTGGCTATATGATGGGACACAGCCTAGAAAGTGCTGTGGTTTGGGGATGAGTAGATCCTCATCAACTTGGACCCTAGAAATTAAATTATGGTGGATATTCAAAGTCAAGGAAGTCATAAGAAAATATAATAGGTGGCACATCTCCTGACAAAGCCTTAAGTCACAGCCACTGCCAGGATTGCCATCTACCATCTGTGCCCTTCATTTTGTCCCTACAGAGTCTTACAGCATTCTGTCGATGTGACAGAGGAAGACCGAGGACCAAGCCGCAGCAACCGCATGGAGATGTCCATCTTCTATGTGGTCTACTTTGTGGTCTTCCCTTTCTTCTTTGTCAATATCTTTGTGGCTCTGATCATCATCACCTTCCAGGAACAAGGGGACAAGATGATGGAGGAATGCAGCCTGGAGAAGAACGAGGTAAAAATACAAGTGGTCTAGAGCATGCAACTGCAGGGACTCTAGAAAGGACACTTGGAACAGCAATGGTAGGAAGAAAGACTGAATTTTCTTAACTTTATTAAAAATGACAGATGAGAAAAATCAATTATTCAGTCATCAAATAAACATTTTTTTAATATCTGCTCTTTTAAAACCTAGGCATGAGGCACAGAGAACTGGAAGGGTTAAGATGTCCCTACCTCTATGCAGCGAATTGTCTAGAAGTGGCAGTAAAAGATGTGTACCAAAATTACAACATTAAGACATTTGCTTACCTAGCTGTGTCCCTCTGTGGCATGTATGTGCTGTAAGGACAGGGGATATGGCTTGCTTATTGTTGCTTTTCTAGTAATAAGCAGAGTTCTGGCACATTGTAGGGTTCATTATTTTTGTAATGGAATGGAACTAGAAACTGTTGGAGACTATGAGAGAAATGCAAATAAAGTGCTATGGGGATGCGTAGGGAGATAAATTTTACTTCTGACCGAGGGCAGCAGGTAAGGCTTCCTGCCTAATCATCTCAGCCACAGACTGTGTAAAGGACATTGCTGATAACCATTAAGTCCACATCCCATGTGACATCCCAGTTCTGTGTATTCACTTAAAGTGACTTCACACCTGTAGTTTTGTCCACATAATTCTTGCTGCCATTTTTCCTTCTGTTTGTCCAGCCCTCCCCTTGTTTTCATACACTGTCCCATTCTTCTAGCCGCCTAACAGAAAGCCTGCCAATGTGCAAGGCTTAGGGAACTTGAGCTAATAGCTGTGACTTTCCTTCAGAGGGCGTGCATTGACTTCGCCATCAGTGCCAAACCTCTCACCCGCTACATGCCACAGAACAGGCACACCTTCCAGTACCGCGTCTGGCACTTCGTGGTGTCTCCGTCCTTTGAGTACACCATCATGGCCATGATCGCCCTGAACACCGTCGTGCTGATGATGAAGGTGAGATGGTGGTGGCTGGGGAGGCATTCAGCAGACTGAACCTTGGGACCTGGTCCCTCACAGGACAATGGCTTGTGCACTTGAGACACCAGACAGACACTCCAGTGTTCGAGTCTCATGCCTCCTTGCCCTCCTTATCCTTTCCACTGTGGAATCTCTTTTTGATCTTGTCCCATTCAGCAGCCCAGCCTCTGGGCCTTTGGGCAAAATGCAGTGAGACATAGAGTAGCAGTCCTGTAGCTCTCAGGACTCAAGGTGCTGATGGCAGATTCAGACAGGAGTGGAAATGTCAGGAGGTCTAGATGATCATGGGATTCTGAAGGAGTGTTGGAAGAGGTTTGATCCTTTTTAATAATAAATGGTAACATAATCAGCTCTCAAAAATGTTTCTTCCCCACCCACCTTCATCGCTAGATTGGAAGACTGACTGTTTGCTAATAAGTAGCCACAGCAGGGCATGGTCTCTGTTTTCCTCTATTCTGTTTCGTTCTGCATCATGGGTAATATAGATCTCCTCTTCGGCACTCGATGTGTGTCTCACCTCCTACATCCCACACCAGTGTCCCTCAGGACAGGGATGAAAGATGGCCAGCCTCTGTGACGTGGAATACCCCCCCACACCTTAAGGGTTTGATTCTTTTTCTCCTCTTTTCTCTTCTTGGCAGTACTACTCTGCTCCCTGTACCTATGAACTGGCCCTGAAGTACCTGAATATTGCCTTCACCATGGTGTTTTCCCTGGAATGTGTCCTAAAGATCATCGCTTTTGGCTTCTTGGTATGTCATGGCATTTATCCCAGCATCACACTTGTCTTCCCTTCCTTTTGGGTGCATTCCCAGCCTTTGTTGGAAGGGGAGTGGTTACTGCTATTCCAGAAATGGTTTGCACACCTGACCTAATTGTGGGCCTATTTCCACTGCCCAATAAACTGCCACAGAGACAAAATGATGCATGAGGGCATTAGGAGAAGGGGCAAAGGAAACCAGATCCCCTACTCCATATTCACACAGCCATCGACTCTGGTCAGGTTCTGTCAGTGGTTGAAGGTGACAGTCATTGGGTCTTACTAGAACTGCAATTTATCTGTTGATAGGGAGCAAAACAAAGATTGGAATAAGAAGGCTTGAATGTTTATTTACTGGTAAAAGGTATAAGATCTTATAATTCAAATGGGAAAGTATCTGTCCCTCATCACCTCAAACATAGCAGGTGTTATATTTTAATTGCCCTCCTCACATTAGTTACATGAAGCATAATTTCTGCTAACAAAAATAAATGTTTATTACTTAAGCTTACAAAGGCTGATGACTTTTAAAGTGTGTGTGAGAGAGAGATAAAGGGAAAGAAAGGTAGGTTGGTAGGTAGGTATACTGGAATTAGGTTTGAGGAGAGGAGGGATGAATTTTTCTTGTTGAGTTTTTTACTTCTCTTCAACTATTAATTATAATTGCTTGGCACATCCTTGCATCTTCTCTCAACAGTGTTAAACAAACCTAGCCCTTCGCTTCAGTGTCCTATAAACAAAATAATTCTCTCTGCCACTCCCCTCCCTGTTTCAGCGTTTACAGTGAGATCAGTGGGATGCAGATAAACCCACTTGACAGCTGTTTCACACTTATTTAGTGTGTGAGCTACCATTTCAAATTATGTGTATATGTGGTTTTCCCCGCAGGAAAAGATACTTTGCTTATTATTCGAATAAGGATTTGTCTGGTAGCAGCTTTAGCTGGGACTCTGGGCTGGGCTTGATAATTTTGACTGTTGATTGTGGGGGTTGCTTTTGGTCTCCTAATGGTTCTTTGAAAAGTCATTAACTTGATGGTTTGGGGAAGGGAGTTGAAGAGAACCCGTTGCAGGTGGCTGTATTGTTGTTTGCTTGACTCCCCTTTGAGTATTTTGAGACTTGGGGAAATAAAAAAGTAAAACTACCACCAACAAAGATGCCTTTATAATAAAGCCCTAAGCAGGGTGAGCAGAGCAAGGGAGGAGGGAGATGCTGTGGCGCCACAACAGGGAAATTTTTTTTATGCATCTTGATTACTTGCATATGCTGTTGACATTGTCTGTGACTTAAGTCCCCAACTGTGCGTTAATTAGGGTGAATGCTGAATACATACTTAGAAGCTTAACTAGACTCGGCCCCAAAGCCTGCCTCCTTCCCACCCTCACCTCCTTTTTCATTCAAGGTCTAGAGGCATTTTCACACTATGAAAGACACCACTATTCCCAAATCAGTCTTTGCATTAATATGGCACTCAAGGTTTTCAGAATATCCTGATGTATACTATTTTGTTAGATCTTCTCAATGACTCTGAAATACACATGGCATGTGCCATCATTATCATTGTTGATGTTGTCAATTTAAATGAGGAAATCGAAGTTCAGTAAAGTTGTATAGCTTTTTAAATATGACAAAATAAAAGGCAGTAGAAATGGAAAGTAGGGTGGGAATAAAAAAGGAAGAAGGAAAAAAGCGGGAGAGAATGAACATTGGTTGCCATATTAAGTACCAAACTCTTTATATATTACTCATTTTAACTTCATAATAGCTCTATTTAGGTAGACATGACCAGTTTCTTTTATGGATGGTCTAGGGCTCAAGATGATTCAGTACGTTGCTCAAGGTTACTAAGAGGCAGACCCAGCATTCGGATTCTGGTCTAATCTGACTCGAAACCCACAGCCTCTCCACGGTAATCTAGTCTACACTATTATACTGTGCTGTTCTAAACCATATTGTATTGTAAAGAATCAATCCAGAATCCAGAGCTCCTGTCCTTTAAGACCTAGATTCGTGTTCTCTCTACTGAATGGGGGCCTGTCCAAGAATTAAGAAGCCTAGCCCAGATTGGGACTAGGAGAGCCTGAGAACCGAGAAACTCAGAAACTCGACTTGGTTCCATTCTTGAGGAAGTAGATATTCTTCATGGAGAGTGAGTTTTTGAGGATGTGTGCCCTGTTTCTCTGCATGCTCAGTAGGGACCAGTGACTTTGGAATCAGACAAGCCTCTCTAAGCCTTAGTTTTGTCATTCAAAATGAGGATCACAGTAGCTGCCTTTACAGCCTTAGACACTTTGTTGTGTGTACTCAGTTAGGCAATGTACCCAAGATCTCTAAGACTCTGGTCCTGAATAGGTGCTCATTAAACATAGCTTTGTGGGGCACCTGGGTGGCTAAGTTGGTTAAGCATCCAACTCTTGATTTTGGCTCAACATACAGGTTCATGAGATTGAGCCCCATGTCGGGCTCCACGCTCAACAGGAAGTCTGCTTGAGATTATCTCTCTCCATCTCCCTCAGCCCTTCCTCCCCACTCCCTCTCTCTCTCTCAAAAATAAAATAAAATAAAATAAAAATTTAAAAAGGTAGCTTTGCTCTCACTATACTCCTTTCCTCTCACTATTGCATGTATCTGCCCACCCTTCTTGCCAAACCCACCACTGAGTATTTTATGAACATAGGGTATTGATCATGACCTACCTATAGGATCCATGTGAGAAACAAATGAAAGAACACCAAGAGCCTAGCCCTTATCTGACACATATTGTAAAATTCACTAATGCTCATTGTGAGGGTTGGCGGTTGACTTCAGCAGTGCTCTGTGAGTCTCTTATGGGAGGTGCTGCCCAAGGACAAGCCAGTTACCTTGGAAACCCAAGTGTCCTGTTTCTTTTAAGGAATATGGTCCAGGGTTTGTGTTCACCTGAGCGCTGCAGTTGGGAGCAGAGCCTGCCTACTCTCTCTGTTAAGCAGAGTGTTACATGGTTGGTGCATTTTCCAGGTCCTTTATTTCTCCTCTGTCTCCTTCAGCCCACTCATTTTATTACTCAAAAGGTGTAACAGTGCAGAGAAAGAGAGGAAGGATGAAGTCTATTCATCCTATTGCCCTGTGGAGTTAAGAGAAGATTTTTGGCACATCTCTAACTTAAGACATCTCTGTGAATTTTATTAATAGTTGAAGGTCAGAACTGTATATTTATAGGGTCACATGATATAATACAGATAATTTAGAAATTGTAGAAAACTTTAGAGTAATATTGTACATAATTTTATTGCCTTGTATGTGATGATGATCTTTCCTTTTTTGGACTTTATAATGTTCTTGGCCATGAATCTCTTTCTTACATATTTTTTGTTATGTAGGTTTTTAGTGACAGCTTCAAAAATAAGGTTTTCATGTAGTGATAAGATTGATTCCCAAATCAGTAAAGAAAAAGTAGTATTTCTGGCTAGAAATCAGAAACTAAAACCAAAGTTAGAATGACCTTGTACGTGAATTGATGAGTTATAATTCCAAGTGACAAACATGTAACGAAAGATGTCTTTTCTCCATTTCTTTTTCTTTTCCTCCTTTTTTCTGGTGCCTCCATGACTGAATTCGCATGGCAGAACTACTTTCGAGACACCTGGAACATCTTTGACTTCATCACTGTGATTGGCAGTATCACAGAAATCATACTGACAGACAGCAAGGTGAGTGGCTCTATGTACATCCTTGTCTTTAAGTTTGACCTTGGTTAAAAAAAAAATCCTGTGTACATACAGTTCATTTCTTATAAGATTATTTAGTTGAGAGAGAAAGAGCACAAGCAGAGGGGAGTGGGGGAGAGGGAGAAGCAGACTCCCTGCTGAACAGGGATCCCAATGCTGGGCTCCATCCCAAGACCCTGGGATCATGACCCGAGCCAAAAGCAGACACTCAACTGACGGAGCCACCCAGGTGCCCCATACAGTCTATTTTTAACTCATCAAACCAGATGCGTAGCTTCTAAGTATGGGGAGCACATTTCTGCACTCCGGAGCTGCAAACATTGGAGTGTTACTGGATCTCATGGAAGGTTTTTGTTTCATTTGCATGACTCATATAGTGGCCACCTAATGCGGCAAGGGCAACAAACAGTCCCAGAAGAGGGCTTGTGTGCACAGTGTTCTGCTAGGTTCTTTAAGAGATACAAAAGAGGTATATTATCATTGCCCTCAAAGTTGTTAGACCTGAATTGTTTCCCTAAAATTCTTTATCCTAGAAAAGACTTGGAGACCTCATTGTAGTTCTCATGAATGTTGGCATAGCCATTGCATGTGCCAGAGGGATTATTTGGTCACCTCTGTGGCATCTAAGTGCAGTTAGGACCACTAGGGCCCCTTAAAAGACTAGAGAGGCTGATTTTGTCTAATATATGCAGGACACTCTTCTGAGGTACTACCCATCCCCTTCTACCTGGGAATAGAGGGCAGGCCTGGGAAGGCTTAGAGAGATGGTCCTCACTGGCCCATCAGTTGGAGATGGGATTGAAAACACAAGACAGAACCTGTGTCTAATTTTATGATCCGAATGAGGGATAAATATGCAAATACTAGTGGTTGGCTTTTTTCTGAATGGCCATAATGTCACTAATTATAAGCTTCCTTTTGCCCCACCAGCTGGTAAACACCAGTGGTTTCAACATGAGCTTTCTGAAGCTCTTCCGCGCTGCCCGCCTCATCAAGCTTCTGCGACAGGGCTACACCATCCGTATTTTACTCTGGACCTTCGTGCAGTCCTTTAAGGTACGTGGCACCAGCCCCTCCTCTCATCGGAGCTCAGCCAGGCCACACAGTGTCATTACACAGCTTGTGTCTAACTGGATATAATCTCATTCTAGAAAAATACCTCCACTTTGTAACTCAGTTATTTTCTCTATTCATTGAGGCCAGGGCTTCATTGATGAGGTGTGCTCCCTCTCTAGATATTCCAAAATGCTTCAAGCAATCCCATCCATGTATAGAGCCAGATACAGGGAGTCACGCATCTGCATTTTCAGGGGCCTGCCGATGGCTTTATTTCACAGTAACAATTAACAGTTTTTCAAAGGGCTCATTGAGTTGTGTTTGATTGCAAGATGATTCATACAATCCCATTCTTGTCTTTGTCAGTGTGTGTTTCCTAAACCACTGAATGTATGGCATGCTAATGGTCACCTCTCTGTCCTACAATCTGATAGGATATTTGGGCAAGGTTAATGTGGTGAGCTTCTTTGAATAGTCTTGTGTGGCCTTACAGAGTTATACGTGTAAGAAAAACTAGTTTAAAAGATACATGAAACCCACTTTAATGACAGAGACTTCCTATAAAGCAAGTTTTCCAAACATATTTAAATGCTTTCAGGCTCTAGTAGATATCATAGTTTGTTTTTAAAGTTTTGGGGGTCTAAGTGTTGTTCAAATGCCTAATAGTTTTCCTTTTATTAAAAAAATATTTTCAGTGAATGTGTTTTAAAAATAAATTTGATGAAATTGATTCAAAGATGAAAAATCATGAATTTACCAAACTGCCTCCTTTACTTTAATTATTTATGTATTTTAACTGAACTAGAGGGTCAGCCAGTAAATTCAATGGTTTCTCATCATTTGGAAAAACGTTCACTCCACACCACCACTACTGACTTATTCTCCATTGAGGTCCTACAGGTTTGATATGTGAGACCAGTTGTAAGAATGTTCAGGCTCCCGCAAGCAACCTTGACATTTTTATCATATCCAGAGTAATTGTCTGGTGTCATAACTCCCACAGAGGCTTCACCTCAATGAAAAGAATTTTGCCAAAGCTACATGACAGAAGAGAAATCTCAAACCTTAGTAAGAATTTACTGAGTCTCAGGTGAATTTGGATTTAGAATCTGATACACAAGATACTCTTAAAACCTTTTTGCTAGAGACCTTCCATACAAGTTACAGTTAGGCTCTCAAGAAATATGTGTCAGCCTGTCATGTTATCATTCTCACCAGTTCTTTGTAAAACTGCATACTATTGAGGGCAAAGAAAAACATGTCAAAAATTGATGGCCAAATGGTTGGCTTATTGCAGTGAATATAGAACAGTGAAGGCAAGGTGAATCTGCCTCCAGGTGACACCATGATGGATAGGTGTTTCCTTTTCGGAGCAGTCCCAGGACACGAGATAGAAATTGTTTTCTTAAAGTCAGCTTAACAAAGGCTGCCTCTACAAATACATAGCAGGGAGCCACATGGTATAAACTGCACTGCCATGGCCTGCCCAAGCCACCCCCTGCCAGCTGTGAGCATAGCCCCCAGTTCTCCACCATTGACCCCTACTTCGTTCTTCTTGATTTTTCCTTATTTTGAGTTAGAATTTATAAAATGATAAGAAAGGAGATCAGAATGAATCTTTAATCTTTTCCCAGAAACTGAGGGTAGAGAGAGATGATCTAGGGACTGGAGATGTTGGAGTGTAGAAGGTAGAATAGGGGCAGGAAGTAAGCAGAAGGGGTAGAAGGTAGCCACACGTCAAGGGATGAGAAACCTGTCTCTCTTCCCTCTTCTGTCAGCAGATGGAGTCTTCACACGGCCCCTTGAAATGCAGCCATTCCTCTTCACAGATCTTGGGAGTCAGCACTTTATTGGGGAGGGGATTCTCCTGGCAACTTTGAGTTGCATTTTAATTTTATCCTTTATTCAAGTTGTAAAAGTCTCCCAAGTCTCCTCATTTAGTTGGCTCTGTTGATAAGCCCTTCCCCAGTAGTCGGAAAGCCTTCAATTGATCTCCTGGGATTTGCGCTGCACATAGGCAAGATAGAGTGGAGATTCTTAGTTGCGCTGTCTTCCAGAGAGCTTACTGGATGGTAGAAAGAGGCTTCCATGTCAACACTGAGATCACACCAGCCCACCCTGACCCCCAAACCAAATTGCCCTACATCCTCCCTCAGCCAGAGGGCAGTTCCCTTCCTTACATCTCCTTCTCTTGCCCCATTGCCTCTGTAATTGAAATGTTATCATCCCAGAATGGCAGTTAGCTTGCACTATATGGAATTTTGTGCCGCGTGGCTTCATGACAGGGGTGTACAGTGGCTACCGCTTGAAGGGCTTTTTGGAATTTTGCATGACGCATAATGAAGTGTCAGGAGGCTGAAGCATGGAGAAAGATGTTTTGTCAGAAGATGAATGTGCCTTCTACAAACTGATCAACAACTGAGACTCTCTCTTTGCTCCCAGATTCTCCATTCCAGGCTTGGCATTGAGTGAGGGAGTGGGAAGGGGTAATACAGGGATCTGGGAGCCAAAGCTAGGTGCTTACTATGTAGTTTGTCTCAAAACTGCCCGGATTATTAATATTCTGCAATGCAAAGTGGGATGGATCCCAAGCCCAGGAAATTTCCCCAGCTCTCCTTGGAGATCTGGGCCACACTTCTGGGTGAGTGAGTATTCTTGATGAAAGAAGGTAAATGACAGGCCTCTCTATGGGCAACAGCTAACATATCTGTCAGAGGACATGAACATCTGCAAAAGTATGGCACTATAAAACAGCACAGCCCCAGGGCATAGACAGTCCCAGCCCTCCATTTAAATCAGCCTCAGGGCTAGAGTTCCAGTACTGCCTATGACTGGGTTGTGGAGCCTGGGAGCTATCTGCCTTTGAATTCATGGTCCTGTCTCTGCTTTCCTTCCAGGCCCTCCCCTACGTCTGCCTTTTGATTGCCATGCTTTTCTTCATCTATGCCATCATTGGGATGCAGGTGAGCTCATGTATCAGGGGCCTGGTGGGGGACAGTTGTTGCCCAGATTGTCACTGGCTTACCAGCCTGAGCATGCAAGATGGAAGGTGAGGCTCATGATGATCCATTTCTCAGGATCTCCAATTTTTGAGCTAGACCTAAAACAAGGTCAGATGGTTATTCTCTTGCATACAGCAACACAAAATGTGTCTGACTTAAGGCTCGAGTAGCTGAGATTTATGCCCCAAGACCTACCACTGGGAACAACTCCCAGAGTTCCTAGTAGGCTGACTACTCCTAGGGATGCCCAAGGGCCATGTTCCTGCTGATTCCTCTCAAAGGGCCAGGCAGCTTCCTGGACAGTTCTCGTGGGTTTCCACATCTTTTCCAGTTTCAGAGTTGAGAGGTGGATCAGGTTCCTACCCTGCATATGGATGCAGGTAGCCAGAGGTCCAGCAAGTGGAAGAGGCCATAAGACCTTTCTAAAGCGACTGTCATTCGTGGCAAGTGGACTCCTGGAAATAGCCAGCAGCTCATCCCATGAACCTATCTCCAGTAAGAAATACTGGATTGTCTGCTTGTCTCTGGGAGGCTAGCTTTCTGACTTGGAGATGTTAAGACTAAACCCCAGCATGGAAATTCAGCCAAGTGGCAGTCTCCTGCAGTCAGGCAGTCTGGCCGCCTTTGGATTGCCAGCTGTCTTCTCAATAGTACCTGCCATCTGGAGCCACTGTGCACATCTCCCAGGCTTGCTGTGTCAGCAGCCTTTTTCCAGAGCATCTCTGAAATGTCTCTTCTTTTGCTCCTCTCTCTTGCATGCACTTCTTAATTTTATTCATCTTCTAACCCCATTACCGGAGAGATTTTTGTTCTCCAAAAAGACAACAGAATGTCAAATGTCAAGAGTGTGAGACTTGGTTGAGAAGTAGTGAATTCTCCCTCAATGAGGATATTTCAGTAGAGATGTCATGATGGTGTCAGGTCTGCGTTGTAAGTGGAATCCCTACTGAATTTTATGATTGGCTTGATGATGTCTCTTAAGGCTCTTCTAACTCTCAAGTATTTGATTCTAGAGCTTAAATGTTCTTGAACAGCCAAATACCAAATTAATTAATTTTTGCTCATGCTTAAAATAGCTCTTACCTCCTTTTCATCTTCAATCAAAATAAACTAGAGTAACACCATCTTTAGCACTAGACTGTTAATTGATATTGGTGATAATGATGATAAGGCTGTTCACCATTACTTGAATTCCTGGATGTGCCTTCTATGAACTGACGTATGCTCTTACCGCTATCCTTCCTTTCTACCTGCAGGCATGCACACAATACATGACTAACATATTCAGGAGTGATGAGAAAATATTTATGGGTAGGTTTGATTGACTCCATTGATACTTAGCATAGTTAAATAACTTATAACCTGCTCAAGGTCTCAGTAATGGGAGAGTTGAGATTTAAATTTAGCTTTGTCTGCTCCACAGCCCATATTCTTACTTTACTGCCTGTTCTCTCCTCCCACCAACAAGCAAATACCAGTATGTATTTGACCCTTTAGTGGGACGTGGGAGCTGTTCAGTTATGAAATTGTGATTTTTACAGTAACTGCAATGCCTAATATTTTATTGCCCTTAGACTCCTTTCCAAAGAATAAGAGCACTATTTCCATTACACAGGTACACAAATGGTTTTCCCACTGTCACTTGCCTTTAGGTGGCCATCTTCCTTCTGGTCCATGTTAGAGACCCCACCTCAAGCACATTGCAGATACCTAGCTGGTGACTAGAGAAATTGTATCTGGTAAAAGTCATATCAGAACAGAGTGATCCACCCAAACAGAAAGACATAGAGGCAGGAAATACATAAATAGGAGCAGGATGAACCTATGGGAAGAACCATTATTCTGAACTTTCACAGGCATCTTGGAAGAGAGCTTTGCAGAGGAATCTGAAGATGGAAGGAAGGAGTAACTTGCTGGGTATGGGGAAGAGTCCCGGGGCCAGATCATTAGGAGGTGAGGCTTTCAGCCTCAGCTTCTCCACCAACCAGCTGTGCAAACTTGGTCAAGTCACTGAGCCTCTCTGGGCCTTAACACCCTCACTAGTACAGGAGAGGAGTTAGACAAATGCCTTCACAGGCTCTTTTATGTTCCAAAGTTCTGTGATGCCGAGTGAAAGTAGATTTAAACTTATACTGCCATTAACTTTTCTGGTAGGTCTTGGTATCCTTTCTCTCATGCCCTTTGGGTATAGGAAATTTGGTTTTAAGTGAAAAGCTAAAAAAAAAAAAATTAAAGGCTGCCTTCACAATAAATCTACATTTATATATTTTTGGCTTAAAAACTAGAGTAGATTCAAAACAGCTTCAGTGTCTTTAACTGTTAGATGCATGCCTTCCAACTAGTTAATGACTGGATAAGGTATTTGAGAAAATAATAACAAGGATACTTAATGATGGCTTCAGGACTGTCATAGATAGAAAAAAACCACCACTGTAAGGTGTGTGGTTGTGAAGAATGGGGGATAAGTCATGGATGCTGGACTAAGAGAGTGAAAAGGAGAGACAGTGATGTGAAGATAGACAAGGATGTATGACAGTTTCCTCCTGGAGTGCCTGGAACAAATGTAATTGGGACATTTTCAGCACTACTATTTGTCTATTTGTGGACCTTCCACCTTCTTCTCTTCCGCCTTCCCTTCTTCCCCAGTGCTGCCTCACTTGCCATTTCCATTCTCCCTGAGAGACAAGTAGTATTTGGGTTTTGAAAAACAGTGTTGAGAACAAATTCCCAAAGCAGGTGTCAGTGGGAGTTATTTGAGCAAAATAGCTGGGGGCAGAAATTGTTCCTCAATTGCACATTCTAAAAACTGTTAGGGGGGAAAATGTGTTCCATTTAGCATATATTAGATAAACCAAAGGATGTTATATATAGGCTGGAAATTGTCTCAGATGGCTGGGACAGTACCCCACAGGCCTTCAGTTGTACCAACATTCACTTGTGAGACTAGATCCTGAAACCTGAAGCATGGTTCGGAGGAGTGTGCATGTGGAAGGATGCCCTTCTCATCTGAAGAGTCTTAGGGCTTAAGAATTCAATATTATTCACCATCTGTGGACAAGTATCTCTGAGTTTTCCCTCTTTTTTCACACACATTTGCATGGTGACCACATTCCGAGCTCTACAACCAACAGCAGATTTTACTAATCTGCTGAGTTTACTACTCATTCCTTAGCCAGATCTGCTCAAAGTCATTTTCTTTCTCCTTTTCTAAGTATCCAGTTATCCTGACTTTCTTCATCCTATTGGCCTGGACTTTGTGTGCCTTCAATCTCATGGACTCTGGATTATAGATGTACTGACCTTCTGAATTTTGACTTTGGATAGAAATTTATCCAGGGAAGATCGAAATGCCCCTCTCTGACCCAAACAGCTTGCAACGTCCAGGGTAGCATCTACCCAAGCCGTAAATCACATCTTCTGCAAATATGGGTGCTCCCATCATTACTACCTGAGACAGAAAGAGAGGGGGTAGTTCCTTCCTTATACTTCTATTATAAGAAGTATGTCTTTGACAGACTGCTGGAATACCATGGTGACAGGTACCGTGGAAATAAAAAGACCAAATTAGGTGTGAGAGGAACTACAACCAGGCGTGACTTCAAAAAGCTCTTGCCTTCTATGGTCCTTGGTACCTTTTGCTGCCCTGGAGAATGTAACTCCTTGTTCATATCAGGCCAGGAGCATGGGATCCACCAGCCTGTGTGGGTCTGAGTCATCTGCGTCAGGATCAGGCCATGGGGAAGGGCCATGTGTACAGATGGGCCAACCCGCGTAGATGGAGGCACATCTAATATTCATGTGCAGGGCACATCACACAGCTCAGTAATGCTCTTTGTTTTTTGTTGTTTTTTTTTTTCATTTTTCTTTTCAAGGTATTTGGAAACATAAAATTAGATGAGGAGAGTCACATCAACCGGCACAACAACTTCCGGAGTTTCTTTGGGTCCCTCATGTTACTCTTCAGGTACCTGGATGCATAACCAGTGGAGCTGTAGCTCTCTTGTCCAGGAGGATAGAATTAGTCTGTCTTTCCCTCCTGTTTGTCTCTATTCCACTTGCTCTGCTCCTGTTAGGACATACCTTAGAGTAGAGGTAGGGGCGGGGGGAGGCAATGCCTCTGAAAACCTGCTCTGATGACAACAGGAAGTTTCCTCAGCATCTCTGACTCGGCAGTGATTTGTAAATTGCAAGTTTAGAGCATGTGCGCCAGGACTCTGGGTGGGGAAAGCGAGGGCGATTTCCTGCACATCAAATTCCAGGTAGCATGGGTGGAAACCCTGGAGGGCCAGTTCACGTGGGGCCGTAGGGAGCCCCACCACTGTCTCCACCACTGTTGGCAGAGACTCCAGAAAGAACAGAGCAGCAGCGGGGTAGGTGGCAGAGCCTGAGAGAGACCTCCTTGGCACATTCCATCCCTAGGATGGAGAGCACCAGCGGGAGACTAACTGGTCACAGAGGATTGAAAGGGCTGGGCCAGCTGGGAAGGAGGGCCAGAAAGAGCATGAGATGTGCAGACCGGCTACTACTAACCAAAATGTCTTTGGGGCTCAGGAGTGCCACGGGAGAGGCCTGGCAGGAGATAATGCTGTCGTGCCTCGGGGAGAAAGGCTGCGAGCCCGACACCACTGCGCCGTCGGGGCAGAACGAGAATGAGCGCTGTGGCACCGATCTGGCCTATGTTTACTTTGTCTCCTTCATCTTCTTCTGCTCTTTCTTGGTGAGCAAACCCTGTGTTCTTTGGCTGGAGAAGCAGCCTACTTTATCCCCCTTCCCCTTCCCCTCCCCTTCACCACCCCAACCTCCAGGGAACTCTTGAAGGCGGATGCTTAGCAGACTCCTGGGTGAGTGACTGCCCGTGGCTGCCACTGAACAGTTTTTGTTGCCTCTAGGGAAGGATTGCTGTGAGAAGGAATGACAAGTGGAGTGGAGTTTAGGGAATAAATTATTGAGCCTCGTGTTGAATCTGTTGTGACCCAGAGTAAATCTCTCTTCTCAGTACCTCAAGTATTTTATCTTACAGGTAGGGCTAAGGATATCTTCTCTCCCTTTCGGAGACTTTCAAATGGTTGAGAAAAAGTGCCTCGGAAAACGTAAAGTGATAGGATTAATAAGAGTAGAGCAGTGACAATATAGTGTCAGAGATGCGGTCTCTCTTATGTCACTATGTTTGATGACAGTTGGCCAGCTTGACAGACATGAAAGGAAATGATTGCTTTGGGCATTTGTAAATATTGAGTGACATATGTGTAGGACACCCACTTATAAAATAGTGAGAAGCCCTAAGTGCCTTAATTCTTTCCTTGGGAGAAAGCATGAATCAGCGCCCTGGCATCCAGAAATCTCTCACCGGTGCAATCATAAACAAGGTGCCACTAGATCAATTAAAGTGTCGATCTGGTGTCTCTGGCTACCCTGACATCCCTCAGCTTGGCTTCACTGCTAATGTCACTGGCTGTACAAAGATCTAAAACTAAAGCAGTGCCACTGAAAAGTGGTTAACTTCACAGCCGTGCATCAACAAATGAGTTATGCTCTGCCCAGGCATTTCTGCCTCTCTAAAGTGATCAGGAGGGATTTGCCATGTGTCCAGTTCTCTGGTGTGGAAAAGCTCTCAAGAGTGGCTTGCAGGCAGACTTTCGAGGGTGGCCAGCAGGTTAACCTAGCAGGGAGTGAGTCAACTGGAGACTTGGTTAGCCTACATTGTGGTCTTGGCTTTTCTGCTCTCCTAGCATGGTCAAAACACTTTCCATTTTGTAACTTCTGTAAACGAGAGGAAAAATGACTTGATAATAAGGGTATTATTTGCATGGTGAGTGGGTACGTGTGTTCTAATACATTCCCTTCTTGTGGGTGTGAAAGGGTTTTCAATGAAAAAAAGAACACAAAGCAGCATCTCAGAGGCATAAGGGTAAAACTGTAAGCAGTCTCCCTGTCAACCAGAGTCAAAGGGAGGAAGGCACATAGGGGTATCAGTGCTTGTTGATGGGGTTGTTGTAGGGTGATATGGAGGAGCACATAGAAGGGCATGTGGATAGCTCAGTTTTATCCTACACAGTGTGAGTGTTTAATAATAAATATTTAAAAAGAAACCAAAGATATAACTGGAAAATTAATTAGAGACTATAAAGGTACTTTGAGAATTTTGAGATAGAGGGTGCTGCATAATTCACATTAATGTTATTTTTAAAGAGGCTATATTCAGTACGAGATGATCTGCTTTCAAATCTCAGCTCTACATGAGATTGACTTTGTGACCTTGGGCAAGTCACACAGCTTCTTCACCCCAACCAACCACTCTGCAAAGATTTACTGATACACTGTGATGTGCAGGCTGTGCGCTTGGAGCTAAGAATACAAATATGTCTAGGAAGCACTTGTGTCCTCGAAGGCCCAATGGTAATTAAGTCCGCCTCACAAGGTTAGAGCAGCATTGTAACAAATAATAGGGTTGAGTGTGCACAGCACACTGTAGAAGACTGTACAAATGTAAAGCAGTGATTATGCTAACAGTTTTTGTTAACATTACTAATAAGTACTTTAAAAGGAGTGTAAAACATGTGTGGATGTGTGGAAACCCCTTTATAACCCAGGCAGTGATTGAATATATTCACTGTGCCTCCAATCTCAGTGACAGAAAGAAAGGCCAGCCCATGCTAGGATTAGGTTCAGCAGCATGAGACGGAAGTCCCCAAATAACAGTGGCTTAACCAAGAGAGGTGTTTATTTCCGTCACATGCCAGGAAAGTCTGGGTGAAGGCAATACAGGCTTTTTATGGTGGCTCTACAGAGTGGTTAGCATCCCCAGACATCACCTCCAAGGGCTAGACCTCCAGGAATCCTCTTATATCCTAGACAGTGGGGCAGAGGAAGGCAGGTAGGCAGGCGGGCATCACAAGATGGGTTGTTAGGATGCAGACGGCAGTCTCTCTGTAAAGACTCTCTGAGGAGAAGACTCCAACCACGCCCTGTCTCCAGACTTTCTCCTTGTATGCTGTCTGCATATCTGGCACCTCCATCCACCTAGGAACCAACAGAGAGCCTACTCTCTCACCCCCTCCACCATTGTCTCCCTTAGGCAGGCTTCTTTCACTCATGAGTGACAGAAGGCCCAGCTCCATCTGGCCTAAGCAGAAAGGGATTTTATAGGCACATATACATGCAGAGTCCTAGGGCAGGAGAGGCTCAAGTAAGTTTGTTTGTTTTTAAGATTTTATTTATTTATGCATGAGAGACACAGAGAGAGACAGGCACAGGCAGAGGGAGAAGCAGGTTCCATTGGAGAACCTGATGTGGGACTCGATTCCAGGACCCCGGGATCACTCCCTGAGCCAAAGGCAGACGCTCAACCACCCAGGCGTCCCTCAAGCAGGTTTCTTTCTCTATTTATGGATCTCTTCTTCCAGGCTCCTCCACATGAGCTCTTTGCTCAAACACCCCCAGCCTGTGTCTCCAGGATGATTGTAACAGCATTTCTAAACCCCAATCCTCACACACTGAAGACTGACAGGGAAGAACGAGTCTATCACCCAGAAGGTTCAGTACCATTTTATTGGCCCTGATTGGATCACCAATCACTGTGGCCCAGAGAACAGGTCAGTGACTGACTGGCTGATGCCTGGGTCACGTGTGACACCCACTGAACCATGTTAACTGGGAATAGGCAGAGGGTGGGGTCTTCAAGAGACCAGATATACAATAAATGAGGACGAGGCAGCCAGGAAGCAAGAACACAATGCTGTTCACTGTACTCAAGTTCTGTCCATTCCACACCCGTTAAGTTTCCATTCCTATCAACTCTGCTATCCTGCTGCTGGCTTGGTCCAGGAGCTCCGCAGACTGCTGCCAAGGGTTCTTTCTGGATGAAACAAACCTTAGTCTCTCTCCCAGTTGAAACCCTTTTGGTGGATTCTGTTGTGTCCTCATAATTTAGACCAGAAATGGGCAAACTAAAGCCTATGGGCCAAATCCAGTGTGCCACCTCTTTTTGTATGGCCCCCGAGTTACCAATGGTTTTTACATTCTTAAATGGCTAAGGAAAAAAGCCAAAAGATGGATACTATTTCATGAACTGGAAATTACATGAAATTCACATCCAAACTCCTTTCTGATCCCAGTGAAACCTGGGGACACTTCTTTCATGGCTCTTAAAAAAAATTGTAGCATTTGTATGTTCCTGATACATCACAGTCTCTGCTAAATACTAAGTAAGACTTTAAGAATATTCAAGTAACAATATCTAGTGAAGGCCTGCTGTGGTTTGTTGTTGTTTGTTTTGTTTAAAGATTTTATGTGTTTATTCATGAGACACAGAGAGAGAAGCAGAGATGCAGGCAGAAGGAGAACAGGCTCCCCATAAGGAGCTTGATACGGGGCTTGATCCCAGGATCCTGGGATCATGACTTGAGCCAAAGGCAGACACTCAACTACTGAGCCACCCAGGCACCCTGCCTGCTGTGTTTTAAGCAAGGAGCTTGGCACAGGAATGTATCTCTGGACAACAGCTTTCTTATTTCCTCTCCGTAGCACCTGGATCTCTATAACACAGTGGGTGCACAAGAACTGTTGTTGAATAAATAAGTGAGAAAACAGGGTTTTAGAAGCCACTTAGGGGCACGAACAGCTTCCAAGTCATCAAACAGTAAGCCATGCGATGAGCTCCCAGATGCCTTACCAGTTCTTTTGTTGGCTCCTTTTGTGAAGTAAGGGGCGGGGGTGGAAGGAAGGAAGGGAGGGTGGGTGTCAGGCCTTGACTTTGAGAATGTTGTCGCTGTTGCTGCTTCCTCTGCTGCAAAAACACATTATTCGAACAGCTAACAAAATGACTCTTTTTGTGGAGTTCTTTGCAAATATAAAGTGGCATTGAAGAGTAGATGTGGCTTCCACAATGAAATGTGTGGAAATTATAATGAAAACATGTTGCACTGAGCAAGATCAACAGTGCTTTAGTTAGGAACTTCATCCTCACACACTTTTGAATTCTTGGTTTACCTTGAAGCTGTTTTACTGTGTTAGGTTTCCCCTAACTCCTCTTCCCCGCCTTGCCCTCCAGATGCTCAACTTGTTTGTGGCCGTCATCATGGACAACTTCGAGTACCTGACTCGGGACTCCTCCATCTTAGGGCCCCACCACTTGGATGAGTTTGTCCGCGTCTGGGCGGAGTATGACCGAGCTGCATGGTGCGTAGGCCTCTTGGCCATCCTGGGGAGCCTGTGTTGAGGGCTTCTGGAGTTCCCAAGGAAGGGGTTGGAACTGGATGCCTGCCTGTAACAGAAGGAGAGGAGATTCCTCTGAGTCATGGCCTGTGGAAGAGCCCAGGCCCTCAGATTGGCTCTGGTATCAGGCCAGTCACCAAAAATGTAGCTTCTTTATCTTTGCTTCCTCTCTCATTCCTTCTGTGACAGGCTTTCCTTTTCTTTGCCAATCTCATCACACAGTCTCTATCTCAGAATGGTTGGGTTCGGTTGCCAGAGGACCTTCCAGTAATCTTTTACTTTTCTTTTTTTTTTTTTTTCTTTCCCTTTCAGTGGTTAGTGGGCTCCTTTGAATCACCGGAGTGGGGAGTCGGGGTGGGATGACAAGGGTTTTCTGGACCAGTTGAACATCTGATCATCGCAGTCTATGACAATAGCATTTTATTTCTCATCCCTCTCAAAAGATACTATTGAGATAACTCTGAAATTATGTAAAAAAAAAAAAAAACACAAGCAAGTCATCCATCCAAATGATCCCTTAAATGCTTGAGGATTTTTATTGCATAGAATTGAACTAAATGGCAGGAATTTATGTGAACAACCTCCCCAGATTTCTTTCACTGGTCCAGTATTTCTCCAGTGATGCGCCTTCTTGGGCTTTTGAGCAGGGATTGGCAAACTACAGCCTCAGGACTAAACATGGCCCACTGCCTATTTTTGTAAATAAAGCTTTATTAGAATACAGCCATACTCACTCATTTTTATGTATCATCTATGGCAGCTTTCACACTATAAGGCAGAGTTCTATAGTTGTGACAAAGACAGTGTGACCCTCAAAATCAAAAATATGACCTGACTGTTGACAGAAAAGAATTTGTTGATCCCTGCTTTAGAGTGCGAAGGCAGCATTTTGGCCCTTCATGGTTGAGGACAGGGTGACCGTTCTGGGCACATTCACTCCGTAGGAACTTTTCTATCCCATGTCATTTTAGTTTTAGGACCTTATCTCACCAATCTACCCATTCTGGTCCCCCTCTAAAAATACTACAAGAAAGGCCATCCTTCACAGGAATGGCCCACGTTGCTTCCACCTGGAGCCCCTGCATAATCTGAGACTCCCTAAAATCTACCCTCCTGTGACACTGTTGAACGTGGGTCAGGTGTTGGAAGTGTCAATCATAATTCCTTTTCCCCTCAGTAATTATTAACAATTTAGAGCACAGAGTTCTCCAAATCCATTTCTGTTGCCATGGCTGTGCAATGGCTTTTACTTTCTGGACCTACTTTTTAGTAGATAGGCTGCTTAGGAAGCCACCGGCGGTGTGTTAGAGGGAATATAGCCAGGGCCTGCATCAAATCAGCCCTGTGGCCTTGCACAAGTCACATAACCACACTCAGCCTCCTCATCTGTAAAATGTTGATGATGATGATGCCCTGCCTACCTTGAAGGGTGGCCATGTGGATTATATTAAATCATGTATGTAACTGTTGTCACAAGTGACAATTACCATACTGGAGAGCAACTAGAAATTATGGAACATTCGTTTGTAAAGCAAGGATGGCCATGAAACAGGGAGCCTGAGAAGGGACATCTTCCCTTGCCTAAGAGAGGAGAACTCCTAGCAGAGGAGCTCATTGCTCACCTAGCCTCAGTCAGGCATCCTTGGCTTTCGGAAACCCCAGCTTCCTGTGCTTTCGTGTTATCTTGGGATCCAAAAAACTTGTGCATTAAACATGTTCCTCCCCACTCACTCCAGCTGCTGGGAAGAAAGGATTCCATGAGAACTAAAAAAAATCATGAGACTTAGATCTAAGAGCTATGAACAAAAATAGAAAGGAGAACCTCTCCTGCTTCAGAATTCACAGCGTAATAGTCTGGTTAGAGTTTCATTGGCTTTCTCTTTGAGCTGCAGGGTGGGGTGGGGGGAACTAACAAGGAAAACGTGAGCCAATGTCTTCAAAAGGAAGACTGATACAGAACGCAGAGAACACCAGCTTATAGGAAGCATGAACCCACCCACATCCCATCTCAAGAAACAAAGAACAAATGATTAAATGAACTTCCTCTCAAGAATCAAGAGACTTGAAGTACCGATGAGCTGCTATTTAGAAAAAGAGGAGGAATTAACACCAAAATCAAGAAAAGACTGGAAAGAATAAAGCTGGGGCGGAGCCTCACATGGCTGCTGACAAGGACCGGATCCTCAGAGGTGGACATGATTTCAGGTAGAAACCATGGTCCATACCAGGATGTGGCTTCCTTGTTCTGGTCTCTGACGGAGCAGATGCATTAGCCACTGGAAATGAATCCATTGTTGATTCTGTCCTTCCTGCAGAAAGCCAGGACTCACTAGCAGGCCCTTGTGATAGAAGGGTGATAAGAGCTCACGTTGTTCCTGGAATTCTGGCTGGATCAGACCAGGTTGCCTGGGGGCTGGCAGGGGCAGAGGCAGAGGAAGACCATCCATGGGACCCTCCCAGGCTGCTCTCTGAGCACAGATCTGGGCAGGCTCCCACTGAGGTGAGCAGAGCTGGCCCAGGCTGAACTCGGAAACAGTCTGTCACCACGAGAAGCAAAGCCCTGTGCAAATCCCCTTATGCTAACTCTGCGTCTTGCTAATTAGCCCAACGGGAAATATGTCTCTCCTGGGCTGCAAAGAGATACTGACTTCCCACTGCCCCCAAAAGCAGGTCTGAGCAACCGACTGTCATCAGCGTTTGTGAAAAGCACACAGGAAGTCCACTCCATGGCAGCCTGGCACCTGCTCTCAACAGCTGTCTGAGGCATTTGTGAACCATCAAGCTGCATTCTTCAAGGCCTGGCTCAAGCCACCACTCATTTTCTGCAGCTGGCTGAGTATGGGCCAGATAGGTGTCTCGGGGTGCTCCTGGTCATTTGGCAGTCCCTTTGGGCCTGGGCGGGCTCGGATTTCCTTAGAGAACCAGGGGCAGTGCAGTTCAGCAAGGAGATGGTTGTCTGATGCTTACTGTTCTCAGTTTCTCCTGGCCTGACCTTGCCAGGTCCCAGGAAAAAAAAAAAAAGCTGCTCTTCCTCTTCCAGCCGTCGACATCATGGCTAAACTGTCATGTCTTTCCCACCCTGTACTGAGTGTCCTCTATTAACCTGCCTGTGCTTCCTTTACAGCGGCAGGATCCCGTATAAGGATATGTACAAATTAGTGCGGGTGATCTCGCCGCCTCTGGGCCTGGGAGAGAACTGCCCCTACAGGGTGGCTTGCAAGGTTTGCCTCCCAGTCCCCAGCCGTGACTGGCCGGGGGGTGCAACTTCGAACCCTCCTCTCCGTTCTGCTCCACCACCACTGCGCCACATGAGGGAACCTTCATGTTGCTTTCCTTTGAGTTTAAAGAGGTCCAAACCCTCCCAGAACCAGCAGCTGTTACATAAGGAAGAAGGGCACATTTGGGGAGGGGGGGAGGCAGAAAAAAGGACTTAATGCAGAAGGCCGATTTGACCTCTCTCACTTTTCAGCACATGCACACACTCCGTCACGTGTGTATTATACACACACACACACACACACACACACGCATACTCTGTCTCTCTCCCCACTCCGTCTTAACCTGTAGATTACACCAGAGGGACCTCTCTGTCCTCCAGAGAATGTAGACATCTTCACTGGTTTCCCTTCACTGGAGAACAGAGAGCCTCCTTTTGGTAAAAATAGTGTCATCCTCCCATGTGTAAAGTAGCAAGGTGTGATTCTAGTCATCATCCCTATCCCTGCACATCCTCCAGCTCTTGGGTAGTTTGGCCAGAAGAGATTGTAAAATCTCGAGAATAGAAAGGAGCTGAGAAACCATGAAGAATCAGAGCAAAAGGTGAGAGTGGCGAGAGAGGGTAGCCTTGGTGGCGTGTGGAAGAATGCAGTAGCTCAGGGGGTCTGGGAAGGTCTTTGTAGGTGACGGAGGGCTCCTAAGCAGATTTCTTGCCTTAGGATCCTCCATATACTGCTGAGGGGAGGAAGGGGTCTGTCATAATTGCCGCATCACTGCTTATTTATGAGCCCAAGGACGTTGTTCAGGAGCACATAGGACCCCTTGCCCCTTCAACTCTTCCGGGTCCTGGGAGCTCAACAGGAGTGGCCCTGCCAAGCCTCCATCCAAGGCCAAGCCCGCTAGAGAAGGAAGCCTCTCCTGGTGCTGCAGGAGGGAAGGGTGGGCTCTCTGGGCGTAGCACGGTCCAGCAGCCAGCAGAAGACTTAGGCCCAGGAAGATGCCTGCACAGGCAATGGCAATGGGAAGGAGCTGGCTTGGGGGTTGGTGACACAGTGATCCCGGCCCCCAGGAGGCCAAACAGCTGCCTCTGCTGAGACTCTTTAAACTCCACCCCGGTGAAACCTGCAGCCGCATGTGGGGAGAGCCGGGAGGGCAGCATGGCATGCGAGATGCTCTTCCTCCTTCTGGTTTGGTTTCTTCTGTCCCCAGCATGCCATCACCCTGGGGCATGCCTAGAGTAAAGAGCACTCCTCCCCGCAGAGCCAGGTGGAAGCAACGGGCCGACTCGGAAAGCAGCCCACCACGGTTTCAGTGCAAGTTGCCGCCTCCTGCTGCACACACTCACGGAGGGGGGATACACGACGTTCTTGCCTGTGGGTTCAGAGGAGGAGAAAGGCCCTCCCTCTGGGTCGGGGCCCCATCCCAGCTGGGGCCATAAATCCTAACCCGTGGCTGGAGCACCGTCTATCCGTTTTATACCGCTCACACACAGCCCTGGGAATTGAAAACCGGCTTGTGTTGTTGAATGGGGGTTGGAGAGAGTGAACAGCCCAGTAGGCTCATGACCATCCAGGAGGAGCAAACGAGTCCCCAGGACTGCACACCAAGGTCAGAGGGACCAGAGGCTGCCCTCAATGTTCCCGGGTCTGTGTGGGGCGTGATATAAATCCGCACCAGGATGGAGTCACATGTACGATTTGCCTTGATTAACAGGTTTCCTGTTCTTTTTCTGTTTGTCCATTTTGTTTTGTTTCTCTCCTCCTGTTTTCTGTATTATTTTGTTTGTTTTGTTTCGGCTCTCTGGGAATGCCTGTTCTCCTCTCCTCCCGGTCTGCATCCTGCTCCCCATTCTGTTCCTTCCCCTGCCACCCTCCCCGCCGACCCGGCCCGTCCCCACTTACCACCCCTCCATGAGCAGTGGCCGCATCCATTATACTGAGATGTATGAAATGCTGACTCTCATGTCACCACCGCTAGGCCTCGGCAAGAGATGTCCCTCCAAAGTGGCATATAAGGTAGACCACCCCTTCCTTTGTTCTGGGCTAGAGACTGGCAGGAAATGGGACCCAGCTGTGGGGAGGCCAGAACATGGGGAGGAAGCTGGGCTGGGGAGGTGGAGGAGGGAACCAAGGGGGAAGGAAATGATGAGATGGAAGGGCAGGGAAGGTTCCTGGAAGCACAGAGTCCTGAAACAATGTGGAGGATGGTTGGCAAGACTCTTCACCTTGGGGCGTTCTGTGTGTGATTTTGCGTTTCTACAAGCGTGTGGCTTCTTGTGAGCAGATTACTAGGAAGGAGGTGTTAACTAGCGTGTTTCCGCAGAGGAGGCAGAGTGGTGACCGGTAGGATAGCATATATGCACAAGAAGGAAGCCTACAGCAAAACCGCTATCAGAGCCTGTTAAAAGAAAAAAAAAAAACTTCAAATAGACAAACTAAGGAAATAATGCAGAAATGTATCTAAACTCGGTTCCAGAAATTTGTAGGAGAGAGGCAAATCCTTAACAAATTTATTCTTCTTTGACATAGGAAGGAACTGCGGCATGGTTCCTTCTAGATATCTGGAGAAAAAGAAGAACATGAGTTCTATGATACATGAGGAAGGATCCGGCCCCCTTCCCCCATCAGCTCAGCTGCCAGGTTCTCTTGTCAGTACAAGAGAAAAGGTGACAACGGGCACAAGTTGTGCTCAGCATTAGATTTGCATTACTGGCCTCACTGGACGGGGGCTGGCCCCATAGTGACAGGTGGATTCCCCATGGCTTGCTCAGCAGCATTATATATTGGAAGTCACCTGCCACTAGGGTACCCAGAGCTTTAGGGCCTAATTTTTTTCCTCCACCCATTAGTAATAGTTCCTGTATGGTGTTTAGGCTGACCCAGAACTCTGGAGCTCTTTCATCTAGGAACACACCACAGCAATGTGCCACTTGTCTAGAAGCTTAAGGAAGTGGGAGAGAGATGGAACTCAGAAACAAACAAGAAACTGACTTTACACTCTAAGACACCATGTCTGTGGAATCACATTAGGCGAGATGTTCCAATGGCGCATTAGAGATCCTGCCTTGGGAAGAGACACGTCCCTCCCTGCTAGGCTGGTGGTTCTGCCAGAGGACCTTCTGCTGCTGCTACCTCAAAGTTGTACAGCTCCAGAGAGCATCTCCTTGGAACAGGGCCCTTTAGGGTCCAGCACATGGCTCTCCATGCACAGCTGATGGGCTGGCATCCTTTTTGCTCATGATGGCCACATCCAAAAGTACCAGGTGGTGGAATGTGGCATTGAGTTCTTTGAACTTCTGGGATGAAGTTTGGAGGGAGAGAGGGTGCCGGGATGGGGTGGGGGGAGGTAAAGGATTCCAAAAGCAAGATACTCTCTGGAAAGTGGATTTGGCCATTTCAGTTTGATCCTTTCGTCTGGGTAAGGGGAACAAGGCCTACCCACTCTGCTCCTGCCTTGGTCACCCTTCTCTCATTTTCTCTCCTCTGCTCCCCCAACCTTCTTCCCCTAGACCCTGTTTGCACTCTCTTCCTTTTCCATCCTGCTCCACCTCATCCTTTGGATAAGTTGGACTTATGCATGTTTAATCATGTGCTGGCAAATTTCACCTTTTAAAGACTCAAAAAGGGGGCATCAGGATGCATCTTTCAAGTCAAATAAGCAAAGCAGAATCTCCCCCATCCCTGTCTTTCCGTGTGCATTTTGGGGGCATCCATGGGACAAGGGGGAACAGAGCAGCCTTGAATCAGGGAATGGAGTCACCTCCCAGAGCTGACTCTTCTCTCTGAGCCATTTATCTTAGAAATCACTTTCCACCCCTATCAAAGACATTCCTAGGACCATGGAGGAGTCCTGCAGAATGCTCAGTCCCCCTTCTTTTGGAATTCGGCACCATCCCCTAGGAAAAAACAAACTCAATAACTACATAGCAGTGAATGAACCCTAAGTGAGAAGCAAGGAGAGGAGGTGGGAATGGGGACAGGGAATCCTTGCCCTTCTTTTTTGTCTCTGCATTTGACCCCTGTAATTTGCTTCTCTGCTCACCGAGGTTTCTTTCGATATTTTTTTCCTCCTGCTGTTTCTTTTCTCTCTTTCGCACAGAGGTTGGTCCTAATGAACATGCCAGTAGCTGAGGACATGACAGTCCACTTCACCTCCACACTGATGGCTCTGATCCGGACAGCCCTGGACATCAAAATCGCCAAAGGTGAGCTGGGGATGGAAAAACAGGAGTCTAGAACAACTCACCCAAGGTGGCAGAGGATGGAGAGGTGCAAACTTGCATCCGTCTGATAGCGCCACGATGTGCAAATGTGCCACAGGGTCCTAGTTTCACCTCTGACTCAGAAATGTTTGCCATTTCTCCCTGGAAAAATGGTTTGATAATCTCTGTGGCTCCTTTCAGCTCACCAGCATGTGCTCCTCAGTGGCTGGCACACAGTAGGCATTTTAGAAGTGTTTGCTTATTGAACAAATGAGTTTTGATTTTGTCTTTTTCTTATGTGGTTTCTCTATGATGCCCTGGAAGGTGTGTGATGGGTGCTATCAGGGCAGTCCTTTGCTCTTCTCAATTTCTGATTCAGTGATTTAGGAGAGAAAAGGATCACTATTTCTAGAGACCTCCAGCCTGCCTGCTCTTGCCTGATCCAAATCCTCTTTAAGATCAGGTCACTCAGACTATGGAGTCAGACTTGATGGAAGAATTGATGTACGTATAATGAGGCAGGGGAGGCTCCTTATGGCTCTTTTCATTTTGTCCTCTGATACATTAAGCACCTGGGAGGTGTTTCAAATGAATGAGGAAGGTGCTCTTGGTCTTGGGGCCTCAGATCTCTGTGACAAGGATCTCTGAGTCACTAGAAAGGGGAGCCAAAATGTGTTCTGCTTCTTCAGCAGAAAGACGTGGTATTACAAGATCCACTGTCACCAAGTGCCAAGATTTCCTCTGAGGATATGAGGTGCCATGCTGATTCAGCTCCCACCCCCATCTACTCCCTCCAGCCTTGTTATTTGTGTGTCTGTTCTATTTATTAAAATTTCTCTTATTCTAGGTGGTGCAGACAGGCAGCAGCTAGACTCGGAGCTGCAAAAGGAGACCCTGGCCATCTGGCCTCACCTGTCCCAGAAGATGCTAGACCTGCTTGTGCCCATGCCCAAAGGTGTGGGGTCTCCTCCTGGGTAGTGTTGTCGCTGTGGGCTCAGCATACCAAGGTCACATCTGTTGGGTGGAGGGGGGTGAATAGGAAGTGACCAAGGAGATAAGGAAAGGTGGCTCTTTTATCCTTAGGGGAATTCCAAATCCCCCACTTCTTTTTTTTTTAATTTTTATTTATTTATGATAGTCACACAGAGAGAGAGAGAGAGAGGCAGAGACATAGGCAGAGGGAGAAGCAGGCTCCATGAACCGGGAGCCCGACGTGGGATTCGATCCCGGGTCTCCAGAATCGCGCCCTGGGCCAAAGGCAGGCGCTAAACCGCTGCGCCACCCAGGGATCCCTCAAATCCCCCACTTCTTAATCCCTTTTGCATGAATTGGAAGGTTTTGTTTGTTTTCTCCCTGCCCCCTCCAAGATTGGTCACTATAGCTGTGGGTAAAACTTCTTGAGTGCATAGCTCTCTCCCTGCACATGATAGTGTTCAGCAAACCCTCCCACAGTTGGGAATAAGGTAACTTATTCTATGTAGCTGTGACTTAGAGATAGCACTGGAGATCAGCAGAGGTGATGCTTATTAATACATGGTTTATCATCAGTATCCTTACCCTCTCTGGGTGGCTGTGGAAGCTCCCTGAGGAGGACCTCGTCACTTTGTATTCCCAGGGTCCGGCACCTGTGGCACTCTCCATAAATGTTGGCTAGATGGGTGGCTGAGGGAGCAGACCTGCTTCAGAGAGTGGGAAAGCTTGTGAGGTGTCCTCACTCTCTGCCACCTGTCTTCTCCCTATTCCCTTCCATGCCACACTTGTGGTTTTAGCCTCTGACCTGACTGTGGGCAAAATCTATGCAGCAATGATGATCATGGACTACTATAAACAGAGTAAGGTGAAGAAACAGAGGCAGCAGCTGGAGGAACAGGTGAGAGTCAAGGACAACTTGGGAGTGGGTGGGCCACGAGGAGTCCCAGGAGGGCCCCTATAGGGACAGACCTGTGCCTCCCTGGGGCATGGTGCCCTGCAAGTGCTAGAAGCAGAGGAAGGGGTGCAGTGTGCAGGAACCTTCTAGTGTTGGAGATTAGAAACTCAGGGGATCAGAGGATCAGGCATGCTCCTGTCTTACCCAAGTAATTTGTATTTCCCATCCCTCCGCGAGCATACCCCATAGTCACATGAGTTCCTTTTTCCTACTTTTAATACAGAAAAACGCACCCATGTTCCAGCGAATGGAGCCCTCATCTCTGCCTCAGGAGATCATTGCTAATGCCAAAGCCCTGCCCTATCTCCAGCAGGACCCCGTTTCAGGCCTGTGAGTATCACCATAGGTCCACAGCTGGCCTGCTTGCATCCTATCACCAGTGCCATCATGCAGGCCCAGAAATGCCTAAGAAAGAATAGTTCTGAGCCAAGCAATCCTTTCTCTGAGGTTGAGACAACAATATTTTTCTTTTATTTTAAAACAGTTCTTCAGCAAGGGTAATAGCGAGTTCGGCACTGGGGCCAGCCCGAGAGAGAGAGAGAGAAAGAGAGAGAGAGAGAGAGCACTGTGAATGGACAAAGAAGGAAGGGCACATGTTAGTGTCATCACTCTACAACTAAGAAACTGGAGACTAAATAAGCTGCCCTAAGTCATGTGGCTAGTAGGAAGCTGAACTGAGGTTAAGTTTGTTATCCTTAACTCCAGAGTATTCCCACTGCACTATTATCAATAATGAACAAAAGGAATCTTAGATAAGGAAAAGAAAAAAAAAGCCTGTATTAGAAGTGGAAACAAAACATCAGTCAAGGAAGTTGCCAACTCTTCTGAGTTGCAAACCTTAGCCCCTCCATTGGTCGTTAGCCTAAATGATGTATTAATGCATACATATCTCGTTATAATAACACAATCTTTCTGTCATCAGCAAACATGTACAAGTATCCAAAGGGCAGGAGTCCCTCTGCCTCACATGAGGAAGTTTTTGTGGTTGGATTTAAGCCAGTCCTAGTTCTCATGGAGCCAGTAATCACTTAATACCACAACTTCAGTAATTATCAGAGGAATGAAATCAGGGCCTGGGAATGAGACCCTGGGTCAGAAGGCCATTTGGAATTTCTCACACCGTGAATCCCTTTCAGCCTGTGGTGTTAGACACCTGTGCTTGAAAAGCACTGATCTCGGAGGTCACAAGGTAACACATGTGCAAGAGAAGCAAAGGACCAACATCATGATCAAAGCTATTATTGATCTTTACAAATATTTGATGGTATAAGATAGCAAGGTATGAAAAAAAAAGATAGCAAGGTATGGCTTCACGTGTCTACAGAAAACCAAGAGATGTTTATCTTTGGTCTGTGCAGGAAGGGAGGTATGACTGGAGCAGTGAAAGTCCAGTGTCTTTCTCAAGGACTTTGGCTTAGAAAGGAGGGCATCCCTCCACCGAGATCTCCCTCACCCCACCAGTTTACCATACATGTCTCCCACCATGGCATCAAACCACTTTCTTGCCATGTTTATTGATTCATTCACTCCTTGATTTGACCAATATTTTTTTTAAAATCCCATATGATAGAAAACCTGGCTCAGACACTCGGGATTTCACTGATCACAGCCCTCATGGAGACGAATCCTGAAAAAAAAATTACAAAAGCGACGAAGGTTAAAATGCAGAAGGGTAGCCTATTGCGATGCCACCGAAGAGAAGTAGCACATCTGGTTCGAGGGCTTGGGGAGGCCTCCCTGTGCAAAGTGAGACTCAAAGGCTTGGTCTTCAAGACAGGGGAGAGTGGGATAAGCCTCAGGAACCTGACAACTGTCAGAATGGCTGGAGCACGGGGAGCTCAGTGAGGCCAACAGGTGGAAGCATTATAAGCAGAATACAGAAGTGAGAGTTTATCTAAGGGCCATGGGGTTTTACTCATCAATGGGACATGATCAGACTTGGGCTTTTTAAAGATGATTCTTGAAACCAGTCTGGACAATAGAACTGCTTTTAGTATGTGACTGCCATTGTGCTAATCATTAATGACTGTGACTTGGACTAACAGGCTGGAGATGAGGTAAGATGCTCAGACCTGAAATATTTCCAGTAGGGAGACTGGGTGGGATTTGATGATTGATTTGCCTCAGGGAGTGAAGGAGAGGGAAAAATAAAAGATGACTCCCAAGTTTCTGGCCTACACCTTGGGGTGGATGTTGGCATGTTTCCTGAAAGGGGGGGTGGGACACTGGTGGAGGAGCAGGCTGGTTCCTCAGGACCTCCTGCTGTCATTGAGCTTACACCTGCTGGAAAGCCACTCATGAAGCAGAATTGCTGGAAAGAAGAACAGTTGTCATTTTCTGTGATTTGTATGAGGAAGAAAACATGGCACAATCTGAGTCCATGTGAGCTCTGGCAAGGGGAAAAGTCAAAGCGTATTTCCTTCACAAGTTGAATTTGAAAGAATGAATTCAAAATGATATGAAAAGAGTTGGGTTGGGAAAAAAAGCTTTCTGCTCTCTGGGAAGAGTCTGTATTAACATCTTGAGGCAGAGAGAAGCCGGGCGGGCACATTCAATGAACTAGGAGAGTCCAGTGTGTCTGAAATTCAGGAGCAGGAGGTACAGGGCGAGAGAAAGGAACTAGATCATGAGAATCCATATTCCAGACTTTATCCTGACAATGAGGAACCAGACAAGGTTTTTAAAGTAGGAAGGATGTCATCTCGCTTCAAGTTCTTCAACTCTGCGAGCTTGTTTGGTGATCCCAAGGGTCCTCTCTACCTGTGGGGGATTCTGGGATTTCTCATAGAGCAGTGCTCATCTTGCTCCTCGAGGTTCTCAGAAGGCCTCTGAGGAAGATGACTGGCATGTAAGCAGGTGATTTAAATATCAGATCACTCTGTGTCAGTTGTGAGAATTCAGCAAACATCCTCCTGGCAGCAAGGGGACAGGTGGGGGTGACTCTGCTCTTCAGATCTCTCCCTGTGATCCCAGTCCAGGTAAGATTGTGCCTGTGGATTAATTTTTAAGTAAATTTGTTCATGCCTCGCATTTTCCAGTGGATGCATTCATGAGTGCAATACCCTCAACGATGAAATGGCTGTCCCTGGAGCACGAGATGATGCCCCATCTCTCCCTTCTGGCTCCACCATTATTGAGAGCTGTGGCTCAGTCCCTGACCACTGTCCCTCCCACCACCAGGAAGCTTACTCTGCATTCTTGAGGAGGTCAGAGGGCACCTGGTACTATGCTAGTAGCAGTGAATGGCAGCAACAGCCATCTTCTCAGGAGAGACTGGCTACTTCTGTTTCTCCTAAGTAGCCCTTTGGATCCCATTTGGCTAAGAGTGCCTACAGATACCAAGCAGTGGTTTAATAACAGGCACACCGGGACAGCTCACCATAGCTTTCATTCACAGGCCTCTTACCTCATCACCATTTAGGTATCCTCCTCCATAGCCATCAACCCAGAAGTTACCAACCTCCTCACCACCACCTCAGAGATCATTGCACCTAGTTCCTAAACCAACAGACATAGTGTCTGGCACAGAGCCATCCTTCGATAAATGCTCATGGCATTGAATTGTTTAGTTTGGCCAAGGATGTTGGCACAATAAAACCGTATTTCTACTGAAACTGGAGGAAATTATTTAAAAGACCATGACTGCTTAATATTTAAACAAACTGTTCACTGTTTAAACTACAGTATTTTTTTTTCCCTGCTGAAGGGAGAAACTGAGCAGAAACAGGTTTGTAATCGAGCACTGGTCTTCCATATGGCTGAGTGTGACAAATAATGCCGTTTGTCACAGATAGTCTAGTCACCAGCAGAATGATGAATGGTTCCAAATACAGGTTGAAAACAGTGGCTTCTCCTTTCCAATGTTTTTTTTTTTTTTTTTTTTTTTTTTTTTTACCTTTTAATTCTAGGATCCAGCCTGTCAGTTACCAGCCTTACAAAGCCAGCCAGTACTGATAGGTGTCACCCTTTGCCTGGGAAGGAAGTCCTATATGGGGTGGGAATTAGTAGCGGCAGCTATGATATGACTTTCTCTTTCTCTCATGAACACGTTACCTCTTACTTTGCCATTGCTTTTCAGGAGTGGCCGTAGTGGATACCCTTCGATGAGTCCACTCTCCCCCCAGGAAATATTCCAATTGGCTTGTATGGATCCAGCCGATGATGGACAGTTCCAGGAACAGCAGTCTCTGGTGAATCAATGAGTTACATGACCTCACAAATACATCCTTGGTTTCCTGATCCCTCCCACTGTCATTTCCAAATTTTATTTCATAGCTAAGGGTTTATCAGGAAAACCCTGCCAGTTAGTCACCCTCCTATCCCTCCTTTCATGGTTCAGTTTCTCATGTTCTCTGACAAATGCTCCCTCTGTGGGTTTTAGAATCCCAGAGCCCCTTACCTGCTGCAGGTACTTCGATTGCTTCAGGCCAAACCTTCTTAATTTATGCCTGCAAGCAGCAAATATAGAAGCAAGAGTCACAAATTCTTGCCTTTGATATAGAGCCTTAGGATGAATCATCAGAATGAGTGGAACCAAATGGACAGCTTACTGTAGCCAGGTGCTGTTTCTGGGAAACAGGAATGCTCTATGCCAGCCCTTCGGAGGTACTCATCTCCTGGGTAACTCAGGCGGTCAGATGTGAGTGACTTAGCTATCTGCTAAGAGTTACAGAAGAATTTCTTACCTGTTTTCTGTGTCCCTTTTGGTCACAATTCTATAAATCAAGTTCATATAGGAGGTCCCTAAAATCCCTCTCTAGAACCTAGAGTTTTTCATTAACATAAATGGTAAAATTCCTGAGAAACCTATTGAATCAGGTTGAAGCTTGAAGAAGGCAGGTTGGGGGGAGGGGAGCATTGACTTTAGATTTTGCAAATGCAAAGCTAAAATGCGATTCTTAATGATAATAGACTTTACTATTAACCTTAGTCCAGGAGTTGTGAGAGCAAGTTCCCTCCAGAGCTTAGAATAAAGCTCAAGTGTTCGCAAGGCTGGAAAGGAAAAGACAAAACTCAACATTTGCAAAAGTCCATATTAGACAGTTTATCCTGAGTTCTGTGTCACTTTGATTATAATTCATCTGTGTTTTTTCTCTTCCCTTCTCTCCTGACTCCCTCCACTGCTACCGTGCACCCCAGAGCCATCCTGGATGGATGATGTGGGTGGAGTGTGGGACTGGCCTGTTTATGGAGTACATGTCTGTTGGCATAGGTACCCTTAGAGGGAGGGCAAGACCCTCCACTAGCTCAGACAAATAGGTGATTCCAACTCCTGCGACTGCTGAGACAGGGAATTCTGTGTAGATGTGTGGGAGACTGCTAGACCAGACCCTCTCAGAGTGGGTTTTCTTGGTGAGGTAAGCAGGAATCCTTGAACTAATTCCCTGCCTTCCTTTATGAGGAATTTAGCACCATGGACTAATTGGTACAGATAGTTTGATTCTTAAAAGTGCCTCTCAGCATTTTACAGCTTGTCTGCCTGATGATGCATCTGGCTGGGAAAATCTCAATAATGTGTCCTTTCTTTCACAGGGAGGCTTCATTACATCATTATTTCTATGGGTTCCCCGGGGCTGAGCCATAGTGCCAGGACTTTTTGGATCTGTGTTCATCTCATTGTCAGTACTGGTGTCTGTAATCCAGTTCAGGTGTCAGCCCGTGCTACACACTCACCACTGTGTACTCCTGCCCATTCTCGGGGCCCCCTGCTCCACGTCCGGAGGCGTGGCCGTGATTTGTGCGTGTGTCTTATACCACCTCTCACACCTCACAAACTGCAGTGTTGTGACCACGTCTGTTTTAAGTTGGACCTTTGTGCTTTATAAAGCATGTACTGCAAACACTATAGTTTCCTCAAGAAGTGCACATATCACATGTCCTAGATGGGCAGTCCTCCCATGCGCACCAGAAACCACCTGGCCAAATGGTCTTGGAGACTAAGGGGGAGGGTCTTGGGCACCCTTTCCTTCAGCAGTCCCCTATTTAAACAACTAGGTTTTTAGGGTGTCATTCCCTAAATATAAAATAGCCTTTTTTTCTAGGATAATCTCCAGATGTCCAGGATATTTCTAGGTCTCTTTGGTGTCCCATGTAAACATTTCTAAGGCAACTCTACCCCTTATGCAGTGACAGTAGCTATCTGTGTAGATCATGTACAGTTGCCAAACTAATATTCTTTAACCAGGAAAATCACATAAAAGAGCTGGTAGGACCTTAGAGATTTCCAATCCAACCTTCTAATGTTCTCGGGTGGCACAGCGGAATATAATAGCCACCACCCACATGTGGCCATTGAGCACTTGAAATGTGACTAGTCCAAACTGAGATGTGCTAGAAGTAGAAAATACATGCCCATGTCAAAGATGTAGAGGGCAAAAAAAAAGTGGAACATCCCCATTTTTAGATTGATTACATGTTGACATGAGAATATTTAAATATATTAGGTTGAATAAAATATATTACATTGGATTTTTTTTTAATTTTTTTAAATTTATTTACGATAGTCATACAGAGAGAGAGAGAGGCAGAGACACAGGCAGAGGGAGAAGCAGGCTCCATGTACCGGGAGCCTGATGTGGGATTCGATCCTGGGTCTCCAGGATCGCGCCCTGGGCCAAAGGCAGGCGCCAAACCGCTGCGCCACCCAGGGATCCCACATTGGATGTTTTTAAAGACTTTTTAAAATGTAGTTACTAGGACATTTAAAATTAGAGGTAGTTCGTGTAATATTTTTATTGGACTGCCCTAGTCTAGAGCATCCCTGACAGATGGCCATCTATCACATTTTTTGAATGGTTTTAATCACAAGAAAGCTCTCAGCTAATAAATCACGTGGCTTAAGGTATGAGCTGATGTGTTTGACACCAGAAATTAGTGACTTTCCTTAGAACAGTGGTTTCTGTTTGATAAATAACTTCATCACATTGAAAGAAGAATCCTAACACTACCAACTATCAGAAAGTAAACTTCACATATCTAAGAACTATTATGAGTGATACTGTTTTACAAAACTAGCCAATCTGAAGGACTGCTTCGTGGTAAACAAGACGATACTTGACTAGAAAAGGCCATCTTTACTTTTTTATTCCCAGTAGAGCTTTCTATCTGGGACATCTGTTATACCACATGTGCACACACGGATGCACCCACATATACACATACAACTGAGACCTCAGAGATGCAAGTCTCTCTTCTAAAAGCCATTCTTGTCATGGAGGAGGCCGAATCATCCACTGGAGGTGAGAAGCAATGAGATGGAACCGAGTCCCACAAGCTTGGCTGTGTGTTTATTTCCAGGAGCCAGAGGTTAGTGAATTAAAAAGCGTGCAGTCCTCTAACCATGGCATCTACCTTCCTTCGGACACCCAGGAGCATACGGGATCTGGGAGGGCATCTTCTATGCCACGCCTGACTGTGGATCCCCAGGTAAAAAGCTATTACCACCTGCCATGTGTAGTGGCATCCTGGGCTGTATTGGATTGGTGGGTTATGACAAAACATCTGATATTTTCAGGTGAGCCCTTGATTTGCCCCCTCCCTTCCCTATAGGCAAAGTCTGGCTTATGGACCTTCTCTATAGAGCCTGCTCCTCCAAGATGTGTTTTCAGTGAAGCCCCAACCATAACAAGCTAGGCAGCAAAATGGTATAACTCCTTCTGGATGGGCTCAATATCCTCAAGACTTAACCAGCCATGCAAGAAATATTTTCCAGGATTTTCCTTTTGTTTTTTTTTTTCCCCTTTCCTCCTTTCCTGTATCCCCCAGCACATATGCAGTTACTTACACACACAGCTCTGTGTCAGGACCGTCTGTCCTAACCAGTGCAGGCCACGCCTCATTTCTTTGTCTGTTTTCCTGGCTTCTTTTTTCTGTCTGTCTGTCTTACATCAAGTTTTGACAGAGACAAGAAGTTTTTGTGAATCTGTTTAACATCTGTGGCAAATCAAAATGCCAGAGTTTAAGGTGGGGCTGAGGAGGGGGTGGGCATAGGTATGGGGGGAGGTTATGGATGAGAGAGAGCAATGCATTCTTAGATGCTGCCCAGTTACAAGCTCTCCTAAGCTCCTGTGCTACATGGCAGTGCAAGGCAAGGGCAACAAATAAAAGGCAAAGCTATGCTTCTCTCATGGTGCAGACTTTTTGACAGTTGCCCTCACAATATTTCAAGGTGACTCAAGGTTCACTGGCCAAGTCCCTACATTAGATGGCTCTATGGGAAGCTTGCACTATACACTCATCTGCTTGCTTCCTCGAACATGAAGAAAAGACCATGGATAAGTCTTAGTGTCTATGTTAATATAGCCCAGGACCCTTTTCTCCAGCTGACGTCTCAGCAAGAGGGATTCCAGGGAGGTTACAGTTGGCAATCTTCAACAATCTCCATCTCACTTCCTCCTTACTTCTAGACCCTTTCAGTAATTAATCCAGATTTTGCGTTCCTCTGGGGGCTCCTATTTCCAGGTGGTGACAGATACTAGCTCCATGAGACGTTCATTTTCCACTATTCGGGATAAGCGTTCAAATTCCTCCTGGTTGGAGGAATTCTCCATGGAGAGAAGCAGTGAAAATACCTACAAGTCACGTCGTCGGAGTTACCACTCCTCCCTAAGACTGTCAGCTCATCGCCTGAATTCTGACTCAGGTGAGGGGGTCTTTGCTGTTCACCTCTTTTCAGACTCCTGCTCTGATGACCAATTCTGAAAAGAACTGCACGTCACTGGAACAGGATTCAGGTTGAGGAGAACGAGGGAAGGAAGAGCACTTGTCACCAGGAAAAGAGTTCCCTCTCTGATTTATCCTAATACAGCATCTTCTATATTCATCATAAAGGCTGGAATCTTTTTCAGATTAGGGCTATAGAAATCATTAAAATGTATAGAACTGTTCACTCAATTATGTTGTACACCTGAAACTCCTATAATCTTATATTTTAATTATATCTCAATAATAAAAATGTGATTTTCAAATGACCTTCTGCAAAACCACTAGGGTTCCTTAGGGGGCCTCTAATACATTCCTGGCAGGGGCTGGGCTTTTACCGTCAATTCCACTTCAATCCCAATAGTGACACTGGAATCGTTTTAGGTTTTTGGAGTTTTGTTTTGTTTTTTAAGGAAAAGGGTCATACTGATAGAGTTTGAAGCATTATAATGGTTTCTCTTTTATGAAATGAGGAAACAGAGATCAAAACACAGTGACATGCCTTTATCACAGAGCTAGTAAATGGCAGAAATGGGACTAGAAGTCCTCAATGGACCTGAAACCCTTTGATCTCCATCCCTTTACTGATGCTATCTTTCCCCAAAAAAGGTTATATACCCATGTTTAGGACATAGATAATTCCTGGGCCGTAGTGTTGACAAAGATTCTATCTTATTTATGTCTAGCATACCTAAAAACCGAAGAGAACCAGTTGCATCCTTTGACCTATGTGTCTTTCTAGTGGCAGCTCGCACACTAATCTCTTTACAAAAGGAGAATTTTCTACCCTTTCCCTCCTGCCTCCCATTCAGATCACCTGTTGACATGCCTGGAGAAGTGAGGATTCTTCAGAGGCCCAGTCCCACCCAGGCTGTATGACATCTCTTTGTGCTCTGGGTGGAGTGGTGATCAGTTGCTTTTGTCGTCTCTCTCAGGCCACAAGTCTGACACCCACCGCTCAGGGGGCAGAGAGCGGGGACGGTCGAAAGAGCGAAAGCATCTTCTCTCTCCTGATGTCTCCCGCTGCAACTCAGAGGAGCGAGGGACCCAGGCCGACTGGGAGTCCCCAGAGCGCCAACAGTCCAGGTCTCCCAGTGAGGCCAGGTCACAGACCCCCAACAGACAGGTGAGCATGGAGAGGAAGTGGAGCCCCTGTAGAAAGACAAGGAGGGGTGGTCTGTTAACATTAGGTGCAAAATGTGGACCTAATGAAATCCTTGATTTCATAGGAAACTATATCCATTGTGCACAGACGTTAGCTACTTCATGCTTGTGTCCTCAGAAAGGATAGGAATTCATGGAAAACAAGATGGTTCCCCCCAAGAAAGACAATGGTATCTAGAAGTTATTGCATCTCAGTCCTCAGAACCCAGAGGTACAAAGTCACAACAAATACACAAATGTCTCAGCCAGATCTAGGAGGAAAGGAACACCTTTGGCCAGAAAAGTTTCTGTGACCAGTTGCATGATCCCTAGTATTAGTTATGATGGTGAGTCATCTCTCAGCACAGAATTTATAAGTTGGATCCGTTCAACCTTGTTTACCTGGCTTCCAGCCAATCCCAAGAAGATGACTCCTTTCTTGCAGAAATTACCATCAAAGCTGTGTGAAAACATTCTCTCGCCCTGTTTTCCTCTTCACTCCCAGCCCTACCTCTCCCCAAGGCTGTCAGAGCCCAGATGGGAGACCCCCCTCACCAGCAGCGAGCAGAGGAGAGGAGGAGGGGGGGAATTACAGTGGACTTTTAGAGGCAGTTGAAAAGTTTCTTCTAGAGCAGTGGCTTTCAAATTTTATTGACTAGAATCATGAAAGCCTGTCATAACCATATATTCCTGGGATCTGAAGGGTTCTGCTTCAGTAATAAGACCAGCTAGAAAGGGGAAAGCATAAATCTGCGGGTGAAAGGACCCTTCCTTCCCTAGGAGCTTCTGAGCAGGTGGTTCAGAGGCCACACACAGCTCAAGAAACACCTTCCAGAAGGTCCGTGTACCAGCACTGGGTTTGGGGACCCTTGGATCTAGGTGAACAGGTCAAGCTGCTAAGCCTGTGAGTGGAGCAGCTGAGTTAACCTCAGCCAGCCACTAAACCCATGAAGGCAAAAAGTGAAGATGAGGGAAGAGAGTTGCCATTCCTGCAGATCTGCTTCCCAAGAACTCTCGGACAGCATTTATTCACCCTCACTCATGCCATTGTCCTTCTCCCAAGTTTCAATGCTTTCTCAGAGTGCATAGATAGTGTTCTCAGTGTTACATAGTTTCTCAGTGATAGTTTCTCAGTGTTACATAGATAGAGCTTCCAGATCCTTGCTCCTCTGAGCATGTGTTCCATGGTCCAGCAGCACCTGGGAGCCTGTTGCAAATGCAGAGTCTCAGCCTCCCCCTTCCCCCTGCCCCCACCGCCACCACCTGCAGAGCCTACAACTGCAGTTGAGGTTAACATGCCCTGGTCTCCATGGTGGAGACCCATCGGCCTCCTCAGTCCCTCCATCCTCAGTGGATCCCGCCCCTCAGCTGGGACCCCGGCTCTGACCTCCCTGCCCCGGACTCTAAGGGCTGTCCGTGAGAAGGGTCAGGGGAGCTCACCAGGGCCCCGAGCAGGGATCAGGCCGGGCCCCGTCTAACATGCCGTGTCTGTCCCGCCGCACAGGGCACGGGCTCCCTGAGCGAGAGCTCCATCCCCTCCATCTCTGACACCAGCACCCCAAGACGAAGTCGCCGGCAGCTGCCACCCGTCCCACCAAAGCCTCGGCCCCTCCTCTCCTACAGCTCCCTGATTCGACACTCCGGGAGCATCTCCCCGCCGGCCGACGGAAGCGAGAGGGGCTCCCCGCTGACCCCACAGGCGCTGGAGAGCACGGAGGCCGGCCTGGCGGAGCCCTCGGGCCCCCGGCACGGGCACGGCCACGGGCACGGGCAGCAGAGCCAGCACTGCTCCCCGCAGCGCTACATCTCCGAGCCCTACCTGGCCCTGCACGAAGACTCCCACGCGTCGGACTGTGGCGAGGAGGAGACGCTCACCTTCGAAGCCGCCGTGGCCACCAGCCTGGGCCGCTCCAACACCATCGGCTCGGCCCCGCCGCTGCGGCACAGCTGGCAGATGCCCAACGGGCACTATCGGCGGCGGCGGCGCGGGGGGCCGGGGCCGGGCGTGATGTGCGGGGCGGTCAGCGACCTCCTGAGTGACACGGAAGAAGACGACAAGTGCTAGAGGCTGCTCCCCCCTCCGATGCATGCTCTTCTCTCTCACACGGAGAAAACCAAGACCGAATTGGGAAGCCAGTGCTGCCCCGGGGGGGGAGGAAGAGGGAGGAGGAAGACAGAAGGACACCGTGCATTATCGGACGACCGCGACGAAGGGACAACAGGAAAACCAGTGGGACCCGCCAAATGGCTTCACTTCCCTTTGCAAGATGGGCACTGCCATAGTTCTGCCTCTTTGCTGGGGAAAGGAAATACGAGAACGTGCAGGGTTACTCCCCTGGCAGAAGGGACGTGGTGAGGGGGGCCCTGCTTCCCCTTGCCCCTTCCCACCTTTCTGTAAGCCGCGGAAGGATGGAGCTGGCCTGTCTCTCCGCCCATCGCCCTGAAAAGCCTGCAAGACTTTCTGGCTCTTACCTGGGGAGTCGTGGAGACCACGGGAGAGGCGTCTCCTCCCTCGCCAGCTCTTGCTCCTCAGCTCCACTGCCGTCAGGGCAACCACACTAGCATCTCATGCATTCCCCTCTGGCTTGCTTCCCCCCAAGAAGCACAGGCTAAGTTCAGGAGCATCGGATGCCACGGGGCGGAGGCCAGGAGGGAAAAGCTGAAGTGGGACAAGGGGCCGGGGGGCTGTGGCGGCAGCAGCAAGGGCTGGTCTGGGTGAGCAAAGCCATAGTCCTGCAGCCCAGACCACGGGGAAAGGCTCCAAGAGCTGGAGAGGATGGGTGGTGCTGGGAGGGACAGTCCTGTCTCTTTGAAGCCTGATGCCTACTCAGTAGGTGCTGTGTTAGGATAGGCCAGGGAGGTCCCTCAGGCTCCACCGAGGTGCCTAAGGCTCCAGGAAGGGTGATATTTTAAAAGCATTTAACACCCCCCTTGGCCAGAGCACAAGCTGGCGTGAGCAGCAGTCCAGCCTTCCTGCTGGAGCCCAGTGCTCTGCCAGGCCTTAGCTCTGCAAACGCTGGTCCAAAGGGATCCCTCGAGGGTGGGGTAAGTGTTGGGGGTGGAGAGTGCAATTGAGGCAAAGTCTGTTTTCCAACCAGTATAGAAGAATGTGGAACAGCACATATGGCCGAATGTCAACCTAGACTGTGGTCCAGGAGGTAGTGGCCACGAGCCAGAGGCTCAGTCTTCCCTGCCACTTCCTGAGAAGGTAGCACACACATACCCAAGGTGGGCCATACATCACCTAGTAGAGGCTTCTAGAGAGGAAAGGCAGGCAGACTGAAATGAGAAGCTTCCATGAGAGAATCCGTCTGAGTTTACTGAGGACCTCCTGGGAGGAGGGCCCCTTCCACAGCCAGTTGATGTGTGAGGGTCAGTTTGTCCTGATACTTTGAAGGTAATTGGTAAATATACCTCAGCTGAGACCTGGGCGGCTCCTCCTAGCCAAGTAGGCTCTGATGGGGCCTCATCACACAGTGTAATGAGATGAGGGTCCCCATGGCCCTGAATATTTTCTGGAGCTAGGATGGGGCTTTTCCTCTCCCCAGAGTAAGAGCTGGACAGCAGACAGCCTCAGGCCACTGTGCCATTCTTAACCCCCTAAACTCAGAAGCATTGAGGAAAAGAGAGCCTTTCTTGGCTAATCAGTGCTCATCTTGTATAGATTGTCCGTCCAGGGAATCACGTCACTCTGTCTCTGGTGGAGATGTACCATTCCCTCAACTTCCTCCCTGGTCTCACAGTGGCCAGAAGGACCTCCTGGAGAAGGATTCCAGGCAGGGCTTTCCCTTCTCAGCCAGGAGCAGGTGGAGCTTGCCTCACAGGACCCTCCCCCGGCCTGAGGTCACAGTGGCTAGACACTCTTTTTATCCTCCTCCAGCCAAGACAGACTCCACCTCTTGGGTAGGAGAAGTTAGTGGCTGTTATTTTTCTTAGAAGGAGCCTCTTTTTACTTATGAATTTTTTCTGTTTGTTTTGGTTGAAATAGAACTAAGGAGTAGTTGCATCAACCCTGAAAAGCCAAATACAACCATGTGGCTGCAGAATCATTTCATGGCCCTGCCTTCTCTTTTAGATACCGACGGAGCTTCATGACCCACAGCCCCCAAATCAAAGTAGTCCCAGGGCAGGAGGCCACTGAGTCAGAACAAAAGCCTCCTCCTCTCAGACCGTGTGTCTGTTCTCACTTTCCTCTCCCACTCAGCACTTGCACGCTCCGGAGTGGCCGGCAATGTGAACGCGAGTGTGTCACACCCTGATCCTCACAGGTGTGCTCTTTACATAAGACTCAGACGCTGGGCCTGGTATTGTGCTAAAGGTTTCCTCTGCTCAGCGTCATTTCATGCCAAAGTGCTGCAGTGGGCTGCTTTCTGCACACAAAATTGCTTTCTTCCACCTCAGAAATGCAGCTTTCCCTAGGGACAGGCCTACCACAGGACCACCATTCTGAGTCAGCAAGTCTATTGCATTGTGTTGGGAGAAAAGGAATTGAAGTGATATCTTAGGCCATTTCAACAGTAGGAGGAATTTAGCCTGGCAGAGCAATTACCAGAAATGGGATTTGCCTGTAAACCACATTATGAACACTAAATTTACTGTGCCGGGAAACCTTCCTGGACACCTGAACTCCTTACACTCACATACACAGAAGCACTTGAGCCGTGAATGAAGTGGTGTGAAGCACTGCAGATGCATTTCCCCCGGCCAGCCGGGGTCTTGTTAGAACTAGTGAACTTATGAACTCTGTGATTCAATTTCCCCTGACCAAGAAATTGTGTTTCTTATCCCTTAGCCTACATTTACCTTTCTAGTAAGACCAGAAAATAAAAGACAGTTTTCTGTTAAGTCACGGAACTCATTATCATGATCTTCTTCTGACCGCTTCCTCCCATCTCTTCACAAATGTGACCTCTCACCTTCCCTCTGATAGCTGAGCAGGACATCCTTTCCTACGTGTCAGATTCTGCCTCTTTCTCCCTTGAAAAGAGGCCCCTTGAGATCTCAAAATGTGTGCTGCTATTTGGATTAAAAAGTATGGCCGCATCTCAAGAAATGTCGAGCAAAGTGGAAACAGTTTGAGATACTCAGGTTCAGAGGAACGTTTGGCTCTGTGTCCAGTTTCCCTTGCTAATGTCAGCCTTTGGCATCCCCTAAAAACAAAGAGGGAGGGATGGAGGAAAAGAGAGGCAGAGGAAAAGGAAAACAAACCAAGGTAGAGAGACATTCTAACTGGGCTGTGTTTAGATACTCCTCTCTTCACTTCCAGACAGACTTCCGGTGGGGTACTCACGTGTCTCCCTCTTTCGATCCCCAGGAGGGCAGAATGCCAGCAGGCTTTCAGACATAGGGGTAGAGCTCTGGGCCAAGATGCTCTGTGAGCCAGGGTCAGGATAGAGTTGCCTACACTGTGAAGAGATGAGCATCCCCCCACCCCCACCCCATGTCAACACAAGCCATGAACATGACTGCCCAATGGCAGTCTGTCCACTCTTCTGGCTGAGGAATCTATTTCTATTCTGGGCTTCACTTCTCCCCACTCAGCATCCCTACGGGGTACTAAAATCAGGTAACGTTTTTCCGAAGCTGAAATCCAGATGTTCTGGGTTCTGCCCTGTTTTGACCCTGGGACCACAAAGAAGACGATCCCACATCCCACCATTCAGCCAGTGTTTTCTTTCCATACACGCTTCCATCTCTCCTACAGCCTTTGTGAGGAGCCTCAGTGTCTCCTGCTTTCTGTGCTCCCCTCCCAGCCCTTGTTTTGCTGCATGTTCTCATTGACCCAACTCCTGAGATATTTTAAATCCACCCAGTCCAAGCTTATTTGCTGACCTGCCTGCCTCTGCTGGTGGGGAATGCATCATTCTCATAAAAGTAGTTGGGAATTCACCAGATAATACTCACAAGGTGATCTGAAACAGTATAAGGTATGGTACTATTGGGGTGAGTGGGGGATATGGAATGTCTGCATACTCAATGAAAGCCCACTTCAGGGAAATTAGGTCTCTCCTGGCATAATGGAACAAAATTTTAATTATTTTGTTTTTTTAAAGAACGTTCTCATTTTTTCATTACATCCTCTTTCTAAAGCCTGCTCTGGATGTCTTGTTTTTGGACAGGGTATTTATTTAGTGGGTTGAGCCACTAAATAGGAAGGATAAGTTGAGATGCTTTAATTTCTCAACCTAGCTATAATAAATATTATGAGATCAGAATAAGAAAAGGTGCATGTGTAGCAGCCAGGGAGCAGATAGTCATCTACTTTGCTGAGATTTTGTGAGACATGAAGGTTAGGGAATTTTCACCCTATCGTTATCAGTTTCATATCTGTTAAGTTTGAGACCCTCAAAGGCCTGCTGCCAGTGTGCACAAAGAATCATGGTGAGGAGAGGCACTTCCATGCGTTGGGGTAGCTCCTTCCTCAGCAGATTCTTGCATCCTGTCCATTTTTCCTACCTGAATTCCCTGGCACTGAACACTGTCCAAGAGATTCAGGTGAAGACTTTATAAGGCAAGAAAAAAGAGAAGTGGGCCCCCTGAAAGTGGCCAGAGTGTGATGTTTTAATTCCAGACAAGAACCCCGTAAGGAACCAGGTCTAGTTTTGAATAAATAGATCTCCATGTTGAAACTCTTATTTTTACAAAAGCCAAACAGAATTAACTCAGGACTTAGGACCTAACCTTGGCATGGTAGGATCAGAAGAGATCCCATGTATGAGTGCTGCCTATATCTGCAGCTCTTTCTGACTTGTTTTTTCTTTGGTAAGCCACCCTGTATACTGTAGCCATTTACCCCAACAGAGCCCCATCTGTTGGCTTCTCTGGCTCCGTAACCCTGGGCTCAGCTAAAGACTGCTGGCATGATCCGTTAGGCATCATGTGCTGTCACTCATTCAGCCAGAAGAATGCAGATGTATCACTTGGAGGGGACAGAAGACTAGGAGCAGAAAAAAAACATCTTTGGTTTCTGATGGCTGTCTTTTTCTTCCCTTAAATCCTTTCTGCTTTGACCCTCTGAGGCTTAGGCATCCCAGAGAAAGATAAGCCAAAGATAACAGGTTCATAGATTGTCCCAACCTATCCAAAGGGCCTGGAAAGCTTCCTTTAACAAAACTCAAGCCAATCTGAATGAGACTCCTAGCAGAGGCATATGGAAGGCTAGGGTACCTCCAAACTGCCCTTCTATTTTTGTAGTCTTCTTCTGATCCCTTCCCTCATGCTAAAAAGGGGGTGGGGTGGAAGGGGCCACTAGCATCTTGACCTTATAAATGCAAAAAGATTTTATAATAAGCCATGCTACTATGTAAATACATTATTGAAGTTTGAATTCTTATTTCTGGGGGGTGCGAAAGAGTTGAGCAGATCCAACTTTAAAAAAATGGTAAGGGGATCTATGTTTATTTTTCTTTGGGATCTTTTTGTTTGGATTTTTTTTTTTTTGTAACAGACCAACCCTAGAATAGCAATGAAGGATAAATGTGTGCAGTGTTTCTGAATCACCTTCTAATTAATTTCTATCAAACAATATATTTGAGCCAAAAATCTGAGGTCATATAGTACCAGTTCCATCTTCTCTCTCTGGTGGTTTTTGGTTTTGTTTTTTGGTTTGGTGTAGGTTTTTTTGGTTTGTTTACTTTCTTTTGTCTTCTCCTTCTAAGTCAGCCTCTGTCTCTTGTTTCCAGGGACTTAAAATACAACCTGATGTAAAACAGCTTGAGAACTTCAGTGAAAGCCAAGTAAATAATAGAATGGATATAGATTTTTTTTTCAGGATGTCTTTAACCAATAAACAAAAAGTTTATATCCTGAGAAGATAAAATTTTTAAGAGTGTGGTAATCTGGTAACTGAAAATTATTGGGAGTCAAAAATAATTCTAGCCCAGCCTTCTGTACTTGTGCCTTCAGCAAGGTATTGCATCTGCGTGCTTTATTTCCCTCATTAGGAAATTGAAATACTAATGCTTGGCTAATTCATAGGTGTGTCAAGTGTTTGTAAGTAAATTAATATCGCATTATATAAAGTACTTAGTCTCCACAAATCAACTTAGAAAAATCTTCTCTCCTTATATACCACTAAGGACCTATGAAATTCTTGGCATTGCTATAAGCATTCCATTTTTTGGAAGAAACTTCATGTTTAATGGAACCAGAATCCCAGATTTGCTTTAATTTCACCATCTATTGTTCCCATTTTCACTTCCTCCCCTTTTTAGCTCTCTAATTAAAACAAAAACAAAAACAAAACAAAACAAAAAAACCCAAGACTTTTTTTTTTTTTTTAATGCAGGAAAGGAGTTGAGTTTTCATGATCTTCTTTCTGTGGATACTCCAGCCAGTCTTAGGTCAAATAACCATTCTCTAATGCTTAGGATCCTCATGAAGACCTCTTCTTTTGTTCTGCCAATTTGTCAGAGATAAGGGATTGCTCTCTAGATTCTGGAACCAGACCTGAAGACTCTACTAAGTACTACCACTTCCTCCTCAGTTCACTCACAGGTGGGCCCCAAAACTGAAAGGGTACTAAATCAAAGCTGCCAAATCCAAATTTGACCTTATTTGGTGACTTATTTTTCTTTCCAGTACTCTGATTTCTTATGGTGATAACCTGTACCACACAGGAACCCACTGCTCAAAGCAAGTCTATTAGAAATCCGTATAAGGGATGAGCGGGAAAAACACAATCCAAAATTTCAAAGTGCCATTAATCAATTAAAAAAAACTAAAGGTAATATGAAATGAGGGCTAAACAATGTAAACTAACTGCCAATTAAAGTATACAGTAGTTCTGGTCTTAGCTACATTTGATATGGAATTATATCACATTAAGCAGATCCCAGCAAATTTAGTAAAAACATAGGCATTGAATTTTAATGGCTACCAATGGGGATATATACTTAGCCTGCAGGCCAAACTTCAATCAGTGTTTTTCTATCCTGGTGTTTTGTGAACAAGCCAAAATTTATACAAAGCCACCCTAAGTGCTGCAATTGCAGAGGAACCTCCCTCTTGGTGATATTAGAGAACAGTCCAGCTCCACTCAAATTGAGTCCAAAATTTGGAACTCATCCAGAAAAACAAACGGAGGAGAAAAATCTAATGCACCAAGTATGCTTGGCATTTGTGTAGCTGGGGCAATGTGGGCAGAGGCTAGAAAGACAAACTATAGAACAAAGACAAGGTTGAGGTGGAAAACATCAGCTAGTCCCAGGAACAGAAGGTGTGTGACCTGAGAGAGTCACTTATATTAGATCACTGGAATATTTGTTAGCATGATACTGGATTCAGAGCAGTTGTTTCTGCTAAACTCACCAAAGGTAGTGGGTTTGAAGGCCTCAGAGAATTAGTAGAGCCCTGAACAACTTTTCCAGACCTGGGAGATGGAGAAGGGAGGTTCTTGCTTTAAAGCAGCCCAAAGACAATCTCTGTGACTTTAGCAACTCTTCAATAGAGTAGTGCCAACAGCAGAGAGATTTCACTGACCTTCCTAGTGGTACAAGTGCCACAGGAGGGGAGAGGGGTGGTGAGTGGGACAGATGCGTTTTATCAGAAAGAGCTTTCACACTACGAAGGGTGCACCGGTACTAGCCTCACAGGATATCGCTGCAAAAAAGTAGACCAATGGGTGGCTCAGGCCATGCCCTCTGTCCTTTAGGACCCAAGGTCAGGCCGTTCCCACCTTGATTTGCTTTTAGAGAAGGAGCCCGTACGATGGGATCAAGAGGGAAATTGGGTGCTCTGCCTTAGGCTGTTAAAACGCTGCCACCTGCATTACAAAATTCACATGAGTCAAGACGCTTGAGATACTTCCTTATGGGCAGCATCCACTGTGGTGTGCCAGCCTGACACCCCTTCAGGAACGGTGTTTAAATGGCAGCCAGTGCTGGCCCGCCCAGAGTATCGGTGCATCTTTCCTAAAGCCAGAGTTCAGCACTGCATGTTGACCAGGTGGATATCCTGTAATATAAATGCTCGTTTGGATCCAAAAGGAAAATTATTAAAAATAAAAGAAAGATGAACAACTTTAATGTTTTTGGGGGGGTCAAAGAAAAGAATAAATAAAACCTTGTTGTAAAGAATTAATCGGCCTGATTCCCCTCACTCTGTTTCTTCGGTCCCTATAAAGGGAAGTCTCGGTAGTGAAGCCTTGCCAGAACTCTCGGGGTAAGTGGGCAGCAGGTTCGGCAGTGCAGTTGGTTGACATCTGCTCAGCTCAGCTAGTTAGGAGGAATTCCAGAGTTTCTCAAAGTTTCAAGGACACCCTGTCCCTGAAAGATTTCCTTTCGTTAAAAGTATTATCTTGGAGGAAACAAAAAATAGGCTTCAGACAAATTGCTTCCCTGAACAAGTTGTTTCCTTTTCTATTTATTTTTTCAAGATTTTATTTATTTATTTGAGAGCAAGACAGAGAGACTAAGTTGGGGGAGGGGTAGAGGGAGAGAGAGAAGCCCCACCCCCCCCCTGCTGAGCAGGGAGCCTGCTGCAGGGCTCCAACCCAGGACTCCAGGATCATGACCTGAACCACAGGCAGACCCTTAACCAACTGAGCCACAGGCATCCCAGAACAAAAGTTACTTTATGACCAGAGAAATTCTATCTGTAGGTAAGGAGTTTAAAAGTAGAAGGAATCTATGGAACACAGAGCTTCATGACTAGGGTTTGAAAGAGGACACTAACTTAGCTGCCAGGGTCAAGGAGGAGAAGACACCCCAAGACTTTGAGGAGACACTGTCTATTCTTTCCCTCTGCCTGTATTACTCTTTATTTAATCATAATGGATTACTTAATGAAAAGGAAGCAGCAGTCCTCAGATCCAGTGGTCCCTTTGAGACTCCCTGGGGAAACACCATCTTCTAATCCTAGTGTTGAGTTTATTGTTTTAATCTGAATAATTCTTCAGTTAATTTAATGGAAACTAGCTTCTAGAATGAATCCTCTATTTCTGCAGTTCTATCAAAAATGGCTTCTCAAGCCCTAAGATACATTTTTTTTAAGTAAGGGAAAACCCTTACTTTAAACCATCCAAAAACACGGTAAATGGCCAAATAGAGCTCTTAGAGGCTAGATTGTAATCTCTAATATCTTGGCCAACTCTGAGTTTATTTTCCAGTCATAATTTCTTCTCCATGGCTTCCATCACCACTGAAGTTGGAAAGACAGAATTTGAAGAACAATCTTTACCTAATTGCACATTTCTATGTGATGACTAGTTGCTTTAGGCAAAGGTTGCTTTGTAAGAAATTTCTTACATTGCTTGAGGAGTTATTTTGGTTTCTTTCTAATCTGGACCTTAGGTCCATAGTATTCCCCAGGCTAATGGTACTAAGATATATATATATATATATATATATATATATATATATATATATATATATAGGCACTACTCTAAACTTCTCTCTGGTGATTCTGTGTTATGCTTCTGAGCATCTATTGGTTTCCCTAGCACATGTCCCTTAACCTAAATTTTGCCTCTAGGACATTACAAAACTTGTCTTTACTAGTATACCATGTTCTTTTGCAAATAAGCTAGAAAATTTTCAAACCAGAGACCAAGATTTCAGTTTGTTAGACACTTAAACACAGAAAGTTGGGACTAGTCACAAGTTCACATAGTTCTAGAACACCACAAACATGAGAAAACAAAGAGCAGGAAGAGAATAGAGGCTATAAATGCAAGTTTTGTGGCCAGATCCAACTGAATTCAAATCTGTGTACCACCACTCATTAGCTGTGTGTCCTTGAGCAAGCCACTTAATCTTAAAGTCACTTTCTTATCTTTGCAATGGGAACAAATGTAGCAATGTCCTTGTAGGATTACTGTACAGAGTGAATGAGCTTTTGCACATGAAGAGAACAGCTAGTGTCTGCCCCATGAGGCATTTGATAAAAGTCTGGTACAATCATTGTAGCCATCAATGCTGTCACTTAAGAATACATTCCCAAACCCAGGGAACTGAACCCTACCTAGAGATACAATCCAACCAGAAGAGTGTGCCAGGTAAGTGTGTTCCCCTTCTGCTAGTGAAAGACAGAGGACAATTTGATCCTCAAACGGTTTTGTAAGGAAAAGGGAATAAATTAGCTTTAAAAAGCAACCAGATCATTATTATGTATCTATTTTTAAATAATGCCTCCACTCTTGTCTCAGAAACAAGCCCTAATTTGCTTATTCTTCACTTCTAATTTCCATATTCATTTAATAGCAAAATGAGGGAAACATTAGTGGGAGATACTAATTGTAAAAGTAGCAATAAAGTTAATGGCAACATTAAAATACTGTACACATATAAACAGCAATATTCAAGATAATTTGAAATATCAAGCAACTCACAAATTAACAGCACACATGAGAGAATCATATATTCAGTGTCAATAGCCTTATTATGACTTTTTTTTTGAAGATTCTATTTATTTATTTATGAGAGACACAGAGAAAGAGGCAGAGACATAGGCATAGGGATCCCTGTGGGGAGCCTGATGCGGGACTTGATCCCAGGATCACGACCTGAGCCAAAGGCAGATGCTCAACCACTAAGCCACCCTGGTGCCCCGATTATGACTCTATTAAAAGGATAAAAAAATTAGGGCCTCCTGCTGGCTCAGTTGGTGGAGCATGCAACGCTTGATTTCAGGATCATGAGTTCAAGCCCCATTTGGACATAGAGATCTTAAAAATCTTAAAAGATTTTCAAGTAATCTCTTTTTAAAAAAGTCAAAACTCTTAATCTGTAAAGAATAGTATACTTCTCTGAAGACCTCATTACTTGGAAAACAAAAAATACTCAATTATAGAAAATAAACATCCTGAGGTTACATCTACAGTAAAGCAAAAAAAAAATAATAATAAAAGGAAAAAAAATAAAATCTATCCTTTTAAAAAAACATTCCTAGGTGGTCAGTAAAGAACCATTAGTTCATAAGGCATGAGCTCTGGACATAAATAAATTATACAATGCTGTGCAGGTGATTCCTGGGGGAATGGTCAGGATACCACAAAGGCAGAGAAACATAAGACTAAACCCAACCACTACAAATCTGTCCAGGATGGGAACTCCCATGCTTCAGAGCATTGCTTCCAGATCTCTGGCCTCTGCTTACATGCAAGACCACATGTGCTCATAAACACAATAACTATAGTCTGCATCTGCTGACATTTAAATGATTCTATGATTCTATAACATGCAGGAACCACAGAGCCCAGAATTTTAGAGCAGGAAAGGGCCTCAGCATCTGTCCTAATCTATTTCATATGTAAGGGACTTAAGACTTAGAAAAAAACCCTAATATGTGTTTTCCAGAGGTCAAGGAGCTCTCCTGTGAATGTGGCCAGCCACAGAAGGCTCTTGACGTGGCCCCAGCAACCCTAGAACAACCTTCTACAAAACAAGAAAAGAAAATAAGAGAAACACTGCAGGAGGCCCTTGGCTCATGTGTCTAGAATTAACAGACACTGTGCACCCTCTCCCTTGCAAGAAGTAAAAGAAATCTGGGTCTTCACATCCCCCAGCCCTACCTCAGAGTCTTTTTATAACCTCTGAAACAGTCCCAGGAAATATCAGGGAAAGACCAGGCACAAGCAAAGCAACTTGCACCAAAGGAATTCAAAGGAAGAGATGCAGCAGATCAAACTCTCAGGCCTGAAAATACAGAGTGGAATCCGGGCCCAGTCCCCAGGCATGTGAAAAACACTGTTTTCCTCTGCCTCCAGATCAGAGGGTTGGACTTGAATGGGAATATAGTTTGGATGGCTGGGAGAGGGGATGAGAGGGGGAAAAGTTGTCTCAAATACAGCTTGGTAAATGTGCTGACATAAAGATTTAGGCAGACCTGGATCCAAATTCCAGCTGTGCACTGAATAGTGTGACCCCAGGCTCAACCATATTACTTACCTTCTAACCCTTGGTTTTTTCAAATGTAGAATTAGGATAACAAGACCAACTGTGTGTAGTTGTATTTAGGATTAGAAATTACACAGACTGGAGGGTATTACGCTGAGTGAAATAAGTCAATTGGAGAAAGATAATTATCATATGTTTTCACTCATATGTGGAATATAAGAAATAGTGCAAGGGACCATAAGGGGAGGGGAAACTGAGTGGGGAAAAATTAGAGAGGAAGACAAACCATGAGAGACTCCTAACTCTGAGAAAGGGTTGCAGAAGGGGAGGTGGGTGGGGGGAGGTGTAACAGGATGACAGGCACTAAGGAGGGCACTTGATGAGATGAGCACTGGGTGTTATATGTTGGTAAATTGAATTTAAATAATAATAAAAAACCCCAATCATTTATCTAGCGCTTCTTGTGAAGAAGCATTGAATGAATATTATTTCCTTTAATCCTTACAACTAAGTTGTAAGTTTATCATCATGAGATAGTTTGCTGAGACTCAGAAAGAGTCAGTAATTCCCAGGGTTTCCCAGGTCACCAGCAGGGAGCCAGAATGAGAACTCAAGTGTGTCTGAACCAAAGCCCATGGCTCTGGCTGCCCCAGGTAGCATCAGGCTCCAGCCAATCCAAGGTGAGGCAAAGAGGAAACACTGCAGAGAAGTCCTGCCCTATATTGGGGGAACACTCCAAGGAGGTCTCCACCTATAGCCTCCCTCACTTTCCTTTTGAGCCCCTTTGTCCAGAGCTCCCACAGTCCTAGAGAAGGGCTGTGCAGATGAGCATGAGGAAGGGGCGTGGCAGCTATCAACATGAGGCAGAAAGAGGGACTTCTATCACTCTGAGGATGCCCGTGGCTGTAAATGTGAGGCCATCCAGTTAGATGATGGGATCCAAGAGGCTCTGAGAGCTCGAGCTGCTCTGGAATTGGGTGAAGGCAAAGGGGATCTTCTGGAGGTCGGAGTACTATATCAGGGAGAATGGCAAAGGACAAGAGGAAGGCCCTAATGCTCAAGAGTCATTCTTCAATAAACTTTATTTTGGAATAACTTTGGATTTACAAACCACTTTCCATGTGTTTTTAAGACTAAAATCCAGGGGGAAATTGGCCCCCAAAGAAACCAGAAAATCAAAACCAAAGAATGCTTCTTTTGTAGT